AACAGAGACCACTGGGCCACGGAGCTGTGGAGAAGGAAGCTTTGGCTAACCCCAACAACGATGGTAAAATGCAGTGTGTGGGAGACAGGTATAAGGAAAACAAGTGCCTCCAGACCCCACTCCCCCGACCACGCATTCCTTGTCATATGTTCCTTCCATGATGACCTTGACCATGATATTCAATACTTACCTTTGCGGGGGAGGGGCACTCATCTTAGTGGAAGTTAGAAAGTTTCTTCTGCTGCCTCTTGTTAACTCCCATTTCTCAGAGGAATACACTACACTGAGGTTTTGGACAGCAGCGATTCCAGAGGGAGCCAGGAACCGCCACCCCAGAATGAAGGAACTAGGGGGTGACCTCCAGTCTCATCCCTCGCCCACCTCTGGCTGAACTGAGCCTCCAAGGGGGAAGGTGTGAAACATGGCAAAGACAAGTCCTGGGTGGAGGGTCAGAGGCTGTGGCTTTGGGCAGGTTGCCTGCCCTCTCTGAGCCCCAGTAAATAGGCAGTTGATAGCAGGGTGGCGAGGGGGAGGGGCATCTGCTAGGATGGGGGTTGGAGGTGAAGGCAGGGGTGTAAGGCACAGGTGCTATGACAGGTGTGAAATCCTTAGTGTGAGGCATGCAGCGAGTGTTTGGTATAAGCTTGCATCTTCAGCGCGCCAGCCTGCCCACCTGCCCTCCCAGACCTTTCTGCAAGCTGCTTGGTATCCATGCAGCATTCAGACTAACTGACCCTTTATCTCTTACTCTTGAACAGAGAGGGAGAGAGAGAGAGAGCTGCAGGCTCCTCAGCTTTGCCTGGGGCGCTTAGGGCAGCCATGGCAATGGAATGTTTAGGAGGCAGTTGGTTCCCATGGAGAGGGAGAACAGCATTGAGCTGGAGCAGTGGGCCCTTACCTGGGGCTTCCCTAGCCAGCTTTGTGTGCTGCCAGCTCCCCTCTGCCCTGCTCTCCTCCCCATCCCACCAACTGCTTTTTTCCATGGGAACCTCTGGATCTCCTGGGCATGAAGAAATGCAGATACTGAGTTCAGATGAGTTGGCAGCTGGAATGGTGTGGTCTCGGTGTCATTGTCACCTCTCCCACCATGGAAGTCTGGCACCCGTCTCTGTAAGCTTTTATCCCTCGAAGTCCTCACATGTGTTGGTGGCCTTGTCCCCTACTGAAGTGTCCACTCAGGAGCTTCAACAGTACCCTGCCTGTGGTGGATGCTCAGGAAACCTTTGTGAGATGCGTGAGTCTGGATCTGGGGACGTGGGGGTCCCCTCTCCTCTCCTCCCCTCCCAATAGCCCTTCAGGGTAGCTCATGGGTGAAGGAAGAAGGGAAGCCACTGCTGTCCCTTCACCTTCCAGGCCGCATGACTCCATGCCAAAGACAGCATCCTGATGCTGGCAAACTGGCTTTTGCGCTCACAAGTTGTTCCAGTTTCTGCTAATGACTTCATCAGTCCGAGTTTGAAAGAAGCCCGAGAAAGTCCTTCCTGCTGGGTTCTGCTGGAAATAGAGCAGGCCCTTGAGTGGCGGTGGTGGTGGCTGCACACCCGACACACTCCTGTGTCCCTTCTGCTCCTGCCAGGCTGCTCCCTGGCTCTCCAGCCCCAGATCCAGGGCCCAACCACCCCGTGGGAGCCTCCTGGGGCATGTTGCCAGTATCCTCCGTTCATGGATGCGGGAACTGGGACTCAAAGAGGCTCTGTCAACTTGCCAAGGCCACACAGCTGGGAACTGGTGCAGCCTGGGTTTGGACCAAAACGGTCTGGGCCCATTCCCTGCCTGGCATGCAGTCACTTGATGACCTTATTGGAGAGAAGGACAGTGTGGGTGGAGGAGAGAAGCCTCACCTGCCACGTGAGAGCAGCTCGCCCATTTCCTGTGCTTGGTTGATGGGTTGGTTTCTTTCTCTTTTATATTTATTTATTGATTTGAAAAAGTACCAAAAAAAAAAAAAAAGGTGGAGAAACAGAGATCTTTCATTTCCTGGTTCACTTCTCAAATGCTTCCAACAACCAGTTCTAGGCCAGTATGAAGCCAGGAGCTTCTGGATCTCCCATGTGGCTCTAGGGGCCCAGACACCTGGGCCATCTTCCGCTGCTTTCCCAGGCACAGCAGCCAGGGAACTGGATCGGAAGTGGAGCAGCCTGGGCCTGAACCCATGCTCCAACACGGAAACATCATAACCTGTAGCTTCATCCCCTGTCCCACCATGCCAACCCTTTAGCTGTGGTTGCTAGGGGGTGCTCCATTTGATGTTAAATAAACAGGGGTGCTTCATTAAACAGGGAGTGCTATTCCTTCTGCTTTCCTTCTATAAGAAAGAAAGAAAAGAACTGTGAGCTCCTTCCCAGCCTCAGGGCTGTCCCCTAAGTCATACCGTCCTCTGGGGTAGCAGTCAGCCAGCTGTTGGCAATGTCCCAAGAGTTCCATAGATGTTGTGGGTCAGGTGTAGCTGCGGCAGCGGATGCTGCAGGCTGTCTCCTCCTCCTCCCTTACCCACTTCCCTTGGTACCCCATACCCGGTTGTGCCTCAGTGTCCCCAGAGGCTAGAGCCTCAGATCATTTGCAGATCCCCCCCCCGCCCCAAATCTGTGGATGCCCAGGTTGTTCTTCAGCTCGGTAGGGTGCAGTGCGCACAGACACAGGTCACACTCATTCTTTCTGGTTGTTCTAAGCTGACTCTAGACGGCATCTCACACCTTGCACAGTGTTGCCTGCTCATGAGGTCGTTAAAGCTGCGGGGCCTAGGGAATCCTGGCAAGAAGAAAAAGGCCCACATGTGTTGCCTGCCACTCCCATTCTGTTTTCCATTATGTCCACCCCAAGGCTGGGTGAGTTTGCAGGTGTTTCGTCCGTGCATGTGGAAGGCTGTTTGCAAGCTCAGGGGACTTGTGAAAGCAGGCTGGGGCTGGGATCTAGTCCAGGTGCCACTGTTCACCCACCCCTGTCCTAGATCCTAGATCTGTGCCAGGACACGGGGTACTGGGAGGGTAGCCACTGGCCACCCTCGGGCACCAGTAAGTTGACATTTGGCTGAAGAGAAAGGGAAGCCAGACTTTTAAAGTTTTATTTAATTTTGCTTAATTTGGGCCCAAGTAGTTATGTATGACTGCGAGCTGGGGGCTGGGCGCTGGACACACACCAGTGACCAAGCACCTAATAGTCCTCCTTGTGCCCAGAAAGAGTCTGTGTTCCCTGCAAGGAGAGGACCAGGCTCCTGAACGTGGGAACCAACCAGATGGCAGGCCTCCTGGTCTCGGCTGGCATCTCAAGGGCCACCCGAGGGTAGCTGGGCCGGAGCCAGGCTGCTCCCGGGAGAGCATCAAGGCCCCTGGCACAAATGGGTTCACTTTGTTCCCAGAGGGAAGGCCTAGATTCAGCGGCTGCCTGTGCCCCTGGAGCACTGACCCTGGGCGGGGGATGGGGGCTGTGATGCAGGAGGAGGGGTTGCCATGGTTACCCTGGAGCGCCAGCCCTCTGGGTCTGAGACTGGAAGGGAATGAACAGGCTGCTGTTCCAGGGAGTAGAAGACATTGTGGAGGTGAGGAATGAGCTAGTAGGAAGGGAGGGAGGAAGTACAGACAACAGCTTAGGGCCATGGCACACGGAGCAGTAACAGCTGAGATTTCTTTGCCCAGTAATTAGCCCATTTTACAGAATAGGAAAATTGAGGCTCCAAAGAGCAGTGGTCTAGATGAAGGGATTTCAAAACATTTATGAAAAATGAAACTCAATGCTAAATTTCTTTGGTGCAAAAAAGAAAAGAAAAAGAAAAATCCACGCCTAGGACGGAGTGTTCAGAAAGTTCATGAAAAATGTATATTAGGGCCCGATGAGACATCCTAGTGGTTAAAGTCCTTGCCTTGCACATACCGGGATCCCATATGGGTGCAGGTTCTAATCCCACATGGGTGCAGTAGCCTCACTTTCCATCCAGCTCCCTGCTTGTGGCCTGGGAAAGCAGTTGAAGACGGCACGAAGCCTTGGATTGGAATGGAGCAACCAGGACACGAACCAGCGCCCGTATGGGATGCCAGCGTCCCAAGGGGAGTCTCAGCCTACTGTGCCACGGCACCTGCCCTGATGTCCATGTTTCCAGAAACTGTTGTGAGGACCCCTCCAAGAGTCCAGACTTCTCCCACTCCAGGGTTGCCTTGGAAAGCGCCCCTGCACCCGACAGCAGTGGACTAGAGCAGAGCTAAGCTGAGACTCTGTGTGTGAGCCCATCGACCATGGGCCTCCATTGTCCCATCTGTGAAGGGAGAGGGAGAGTCTTGGACTCGCTGGCCTCCCCGCTGTAGGCAGCACATGGCACTGGGATGTATGCATGCCTTCCCCAGAGCTGTGGGGCCTGCCTAGCTTCTCCGTAACCGGGCTCCGGCCTTGTGCCAGTGCCAGGCCCCATCACGGACCCAACCTCGTCCCTGTCTTGAGCTGCACATCTGCATGGCACAACTGGTTCTGTCATCTCCTTGGGTCAGTTGCTCCTCTTCTTCCTGCTCCTCCTGGTGATGTGGGTCCTCAGCTGTAACATCCAGGAACACCGAGGTGTCCCTCTTACTGGGGTCCTGCTGACCTGAGGTGTTCTCACGGTAGGAATTGGGTCAGCGCTGGATGGTGGTGGCAGGTCATTGTCCAACTTCAGGGAGTGCCCGTCTTCCTTACGGCCTGGGGATGTGATGCCCTTCGGGGTTGTACAGTGCACTGCCTGATCCACCGTCCCCACCAGCCGCAGATGGTATGATAACTTGTCACTTAGGCTGTTGCTTTTCTTCAAGTTCAAGGTCTTGAGGCCAAGAGCCCCAAGGGCTCCCTTGGACAGCAGAGCTTTCACTGAGATTCAGTTTGCTTTGGCTGGGTCATGAGCCTGTGGGAGCAGGCAAGTGCAAACTCCAGCTGCCTCATCTCCCCCCTCCCTCCCCCAGCACTCTGAAATGTCGCTTCCAGATGCCCTGGGCACTCTCTCTGCCTCCATCCTTGACACAGCATCTCTCTCGCCTCTGCAGGGCTCTGCCGGCACACAGCCCTGGTGAGCAGGTGCACAGGCTGGAGCCCCAAGATGACGGTCCCCAGGGGAGGTACGTACACACACAGCAGGTCCCTTGGAGTCCCTACTGCCCGGAAACAGGGTTTGGCCACAGTCCTGCAAGGGACTGACTGGACAGTTCTCCTGGGAGTCAGATAGAGAAGACTGGCTGGGTCTCCCAAGGTGCCAGGGCACTTGTCCAGCGCCACCGCTCAGACTGTAGCCACCAGCCAGAACCCAGCCTGCAGAACTCGTGTGGCCTGTTTTGCCGACGCAAGCGTTTTGGCCGAGCTTGCTCAGCACCTCACGTGAGAGCTGCTTCGGCCCTTTGTTCCGGTCAAATCCCACCAACCAGCAAGTGGCAGAGGTGGGACTGGAACATGGGGTTTCCAAATGCAAGATGCTGACTAAGCATCCTCAAGGTGTTGGGGGTACAGAGCATGCTCAGAGCACTGGGCTGGGGCCTGCTGCTTCTCCTCCTGCTGGGGTGTCAACTTGCACTCGGGGTGCCTGGCAGCTTGCTCCCGGGTGCTGTGTGGATCCCTAGCTTCCTCTTGTCTATGGGTATCAGCCTGTTCTTTGCTCTCAGCTGTGGGACTTCACTGTCTGCCCCCTGCCCTGCCCTGCCCTCCCCTGCCCTGTCCTCCCCTGCCCTGCCCTGCCCTGCCCTGTCCTCCCCTCCCTTGCCCTACCCTGCCCACCCTGCCCCGGGCCGGCCACTCTGGAGGGATTTTTGAGTAGCCTCACATTACCACCTGCAGAAACTCTGGAATTCAGGATCCCAGTGAACCCCCAGTCTTTCTGGATTCTTTTTATTCCCCAAACATTTATGTTTCTGAATGGCAAAGATACACAGAGAGAGAGAGGGGAAAGGAAAAAACAGAGATCTCTCTGTTGGTTCCACTCCCCAAATGGCCACAGCAGCCAGGGCTCGGCCAGGCTGAAGCCGGGAGCCAGGAACTCCATCTGGGACGCCCGTGTGGGTGCAGGAGCTCAAGCACTTGGGTCATTACCTGCTGCTTTTACAGGTGCATTATCAGAGAGCTGGGTTTCTGGAAGTGGAGCAGCCAGGATTTGAACTGGTACCCATATGAGATGCTGGTGCTTTAGGCAGCAGCTTAACTTGCTACATTACCGTGCCAGCCATGAACCTCCCCATCTTTTTTTTAAGGTTTATTTCTGGGCCAAGCACGGTAGCCTAGTGGCTAAAGTCCTTGCCTTGCACAAGCCAGGATCCCATGTGGGTGCCAGTTCTAATCCCAGCTGCTCCATTTCCCATCCCGCTCCCTGCTTATGGCATGGGAAAGCAGTCGAGGATGGCTCAAAGGTTTGGGATCCTGCACCTGCATGGGAGACCCAGAAGAAGCTCCTGGCTCCTGGCTTTGCGAGCCCGGAGTTTCTTCCATGTCTCCTACATGGGTGCAGGGTTCCAAACCTTTGAGCCATCCTCGACTGCTTTCCCAGGCAGGGAGTTGGATGAGAAATGGAGCAGCTGAGAATGAACCATTGCCCATATGGGATCCCTGCACTTGCAGGGAGAGGATTAGCCAATTGATCTGGGCTCTGAACCCCCAGTCTTGTAAACACAACAACAACAGGCCACATTTCTCTAGGAACAGGCCCCTGCTATTCTCGGATGCCCAGAGAAAGAGAGAAAGCCCGGGGTGGGGGGTGAGAAGCGGAAGTGACTTACACTTTTGTTTGTCAGGCACCGCCTTCCACCCGTGTCCACGGGTGCACCCCTGCTCTGCAGTGGGGGAAAGTGTGGCTGAGAAGGGGAAGGGGGCAAGCCGACTCCTCCCAAGTGGCAGGACAGGAAGTGCCGGGGCGGCCACGGCTTCCCCTGCGCAGCTGCACACTGACTTTTCTGGTGAATACGTGTTTTTCCGGTGAACGTCCTGTCCGAAGAGGAACGCTCGCTGCCTTCTCCCCGCTTGCTTCCGGCACAAGTCGCTAGAGATGCTGGGTCCTTCCTGCCCCGGCCCTTGAACTGGCTGTTTGCTCTTCTAGGAATGTCTTTCTCCACTTGACTGTCTCCTACCCATTGATCCTTGAATTCCAGTGGATTGTTGTTCTCTCTCTAAATTTTCATAATGATCCAGGGAGACAGCTGAGGCGCTGCATTGTTTTTTTGTTTGCTTGTTTTGAATTTGTTGATTGCAAAGACATACAGATCTTCCATCCTCTGGCTCATTTCCCGCATGCCTCCTGCAGCAGCTGCATACAGGGTCAGGCCACAGCAGTGCTGTCTGCCAGACTGCATGTTAGCAGGATGCTGGTATTGGGAGCAGACCTGGAACTAGAACCCAGGCCCTCCATTATGGGACCTGGGCATCCCAATCAGAGATTTAACCAACCATTGTGTCCAGCATGCATCCCACAAGGAAGGCATAGGGAGAAGTTAAGGACCTGGCCAGGGAGTAAGAATAGGACTCGGCTGCATGGCTCCAGAGTTCTTTGCAGGGGGAGGGATAATGGTAGGATTCCTCGGTGTTACTGCAGGTGTTCCTATGAATTAAGGTGAGTCAAGGGCTCAGCTCAGCGCCAAAGCCCATAGCCAAGTGCTCATGAATTATGCTGTGTCCCTAAATGCTTGCCTAGACACCTCTACTTTTCTGGGCTTGTGAAGACCTCCAGCTTACCTGCCTCCCTGATCACGCGTGTCTCCTTCTCTCTCCAGATGCGAGCCCTACTGGCCGCCGGCTGACACGTCGCTGAAGCGGGCCCCTAGGCCCGGCCTGCTGCGTTCCCGGCCCAGCATGCGCCTGTCCATGCGGAGGGCGCTGCTGGCAGCCGGCTGCGCCCTGGCCCTGGTGCTGGCCGTGCAGTTGGGACAGCAGGTGCTGGAGTGCCGTGCGGTGCTGGGGGGCCCGCGGAGCCCCCGGCGGGCCATGCGGCCTGAGCAGGAGGAGCTGGTGCTGGTGGGTGCTGACCACGTGGAGTACCGCTATGGCAAGGCCATGCCGCTCATCTTCGTGGGTGGCGTCCCGCGCAGCGGCACTACGCTCATGCGCGCCATGCTGGACGCTCACCCAGAGGTGCGCTGCGGCGAGGAGACCCGCATCATCCCCCGCCTGCTGGCTATGCGCCAGGCCTGGTCTAAGTCCGGCCGGGAGAAACTACGGCTGGACGAAGCGGGCGTGACGGACGAGGTGCTGGACGCCGCCATGCAGGCCTTCATCCTGGAGGTGATTGCCAAGCACGGTGAGCCGGCGCGTGTGCTGTGCAACAAGGACCCCTTCACGCTCAAGTCGTCCGTTTACCTGTCGCGCCTGTTCCCCAACTCCAAGTTCCTGTTGATGGTGCGGGATGGCCGCGCCTCGGTGCACTCCATGATCACGCGCAAGGTCACCATCGCGGGCTTCGACCTGAGCAGCTACCGCGACTGCCTCACCAAGTGGAACAAAGCCATTGAGGTGATGTACGCGCAGTGCCTGGAGGTGGGCAAGGACAAGTGCCTGCCCGTGTACTACGAGCAGCTGGTGCTGCACCCCAGGCGCTCCCTCAAGCTCATCCTGGACTTCCTGGGCATCGCCTGGAGCGATGCTGTCCTGCACCACGAAGACCTCATCGGCAAGCCCGGGGGTGTCTCCCTGTCCAAGTGAGTGCTCTGACCTCCACCCTGCCTCTCAGCTGTGCCGCTTGTGCTAAGTCACTCTGCCTGCCTCAGTCCCCACACCTCCTCTGCTGCAGCCAGGAAGACCTGGGAAAGGGGGGTGGTGGTTAGCTGCAGGACCCCTTGAACCCCTCCAGGGCCTGCCCGGCAGCTCTAGGACATTGAATTAAATCACTGCACCTCCTGTCTGCCCCAATTTTATTATCTAAACACACAGGAACAGTCGCTGGTCTTTTTGTTTTTCTTTTTAAAAAGATTTTATTTTTATTATGAATGCAAATTTTATAGAGAGAGGAGAGACAAAGATCTTTCGTCCATTGGTCCACTCCCTAAATGGCTGTGATGGCCAAAACAGAGCTGAGCCAAAGCCAGGAGCCGGGGGCCTCTTCTGCATCTCCCACATGGATTCAGGGTCCCATTCAGGGTCCCTCCACTGCCAGATGTGCAACAGTGACCTTGTTGCAAAGGCCACATGTGGGGAGCTAGATAGGAAGTGGAGCGACCAGGACACGAACCGGCGAACATATGGGGTACTGGCACTTGAAGACAAAGGATGTACCAGTTGAGCCATCGCACCTGCCCTTGGTCACTCTTTTTGAGTCACAGCCTTTGCAAGTGTTTGGTAGTAAAGCAGTGGCAGGTGGACGGGAAGGCGGGAGCACAGGCTCGGGAATCAGGCTGTCTGGGTTCAAACCCCAGGTCTACCACTGCAGAGCTGTGTGACCCAAGCACATGCCTCCAGCTTGTCTGTGCTTTTACGTCCTGCTCTGTAACTTAGGAAGATCTACGGGTCTCTGTGTATTCATCTTGGATGCCATTTTTATTTATTTTTTAATTTTTAAAAAAGATTTATTTATTTTTATTGCAAAGTCAGATATACAGAGAGGAGGAGAGACAGAAAGGAAGATCTTCCATCCGATGATTCACTCCCCAAGTGAGCACAACGGCTGGTACTGCGTTGATCCAAAGCCAGGAGCCAGGAATTTCCTCCAGGGAATTTCCCACGCGGGTGCAGGGTCCCAAGGCTTTGGGCCATCCTCAACTGCTTTCCCAGGCCATAAGCAGGGAGCTGAATGGGAAGTGGAGCTGCTGGGATTAGAACTGGTGTCCATATGGGATCCCGGTGCATTCAAGGCAACGACTTTAGCTGCTAGGCCACTGTGCCAGGCCCCTTGGATGCTATTTTCATAATTATCATTTTCATGTTTATTAAAACAAAAAAAGATTATTGGCAAGCAGAGTTGCTGAGATGGAGAGAGTCATACATGACTTCCATCCACTGCTTCACTCCCCACGCAGCCACAACAGCCAGGACTGTGCCCAGCCAAAGGCCAGAGTCCAAGGCTCCACCTGGGTTTCCCAAGTGGGTGGTACAGGGGCCCAAGCACTTAGAACCATCCTCCAATGCTTTCTTAGGCCACTAGCAGGGGGCTGGATGGAAAGTGGGGCAGCCAGGACTCGAACCTATGGGATGTAGGCACCACAGGTGCCAACATAACTTACCTGCAACCACAGCCCCAGCCCTGAGCCTCAAACATGATACTGCTCATGGCAGTTGTCCTGGCCAGTGGGAGCGGGAGCTTGGATCGTTACAGATCATCAAAACAAAAATCAGATCCACTCCAGAGCGTGCATACATCTTTATTAGAGAGAAATAAGGGGCGTACACAGGTAAGGAAGGACTGATAGCTTGTAGCGCCCAGCCAGTTTCTGAGTTCTGACCACCTGGACTTTTGATAGTGCATGCTGATTAAGCTAAGTTCCAATGAACCAAGGCTTCTGTAGCTGTCTTTCACCCTGTGTTAGGGTGTCCCCCGGGGGCATGGTACCCAACACTCCCCTGAGCTGTAACTGTGTGCAGCTGTATGGTATCCCTCCGCACCGATTCCCCTAGTCTCTTTAGCACCCCCTGTTGGTAGACACTGGTTACTTCTAGTATGACCGATGTGTAGGCGTACTCCAGTTCGCGTTCTGTGAGGCATCCGTCCGTGTTCTTTTCACACTGTAAACTCCGGGAGACACACAGGTCTTGGCAGAAGCCATGTCCATCATTTGTGATTTTTAGGCACATTGCCTAGAGTGGTGATTTAGATCTGGGCCTGCGACCCCCCAAGCGATGTGCTTCCCACCATTGTGAGCTCTCTTACCTTCCCCACTTGGCCTCTCTCCCAGGCCTGTTCCCATCTTCTTCCCACATCCTCAGAGACTTCCGTCAGCTGGGATGGAAGCATCTGGAAGTATATTCTCAATCCCAGTGTGTCCCCACCTGAAAGCCTACCACATCCCTGGATTATAGTTGGAGTGATCTTCCTAATCCAGTGGCATAGGATGCCTGAAGAACAAGAGGTAGAAATGGAAGTACTACACAGCTGATCAAAGAACAAAGTGTTGACGTACTATAGACAGGATACAATTGCTGCTTTAAAAGCTGCAAGCAAAACTGTAGATGCTTCGGTTGTGGGCATGTGACTTACCGGAAGCCGCCCACTCTGCTAAACGCTTGCTTTGAATGAATTCATGGAGTCTTTCCAACAGCCCAGTGAGAGAAGTGCTGCTGTCACTTCTGTTGTAGGTGAGGAGACTGAGGTTAGCGATGTGAAAGAACTCTCCCTGGACCACGCAGCGGCTGTTGGTCCAGCCGGCAGTCTGAAGTCAAGCAATTTGGCTCCCAAGTGTGCACCTGCTATTCAGATCCCAGAGAAAGGATTGCAAGGGGTTATTCCAGAATGTCTAGACTGGAAGCCCGTGCAAAAATGACAGACTGGGAGTCTGACTGCAAGATTTTTCAGCCTTACCTTTAGTGTTTTACTTAAAGAAAAGGAAAAAAAAAAAAAAGATTTATTTGAGAGAGAAAGAGATACAGAGGGATATGCTGTTCTGCTGGCTCACCGCCCAGAGCCTACAAATGACTGAGGCTGGCCCAGGCTGGAACCAGGAGCGAGGGACTCTGTGTGGGTCTCCCCCGTGGGTGTCAGGGACCCAGGTGCATGGCCCATCCTCTGCCATCTCCCTGGTGCATTTAACAGGAAGCTGGATGGGAAGCACAGAATAAACCAGGACTTGAAGCAGATACCTCTGTTTGCGACATGCTGTGACAAGTGGTGACTTCAGCCGTGCCTGTCCCTGGTCCCTCACGATTTGTTTCAAGGTCAAAATGTGTGTATTAGTCGTATGTGTCACAAGTGACTCTAGGAAATGGAATTGTGCCCCTGCAGTATGCATTGCTGGTACTTTCCTCCGGCTTTGTGGGGTGCATAGCGGGGAGCTATAACAAGGCTAGAACTCCAAGGCAGTGGCACGGTTGGTTCCTGCCAACCTTTCCTGCTGCCCCTTCCAGCACGGCCAAGCAGCATGCCCACTCAGGTGCCATGTGGACCTGCCCCTACCCCTACCCACGCTTTCCTCTCTTCCCCAGGATCGAGCGTTCTACTGACCAGGTGATCAAGCCCGTGAACCTGGAAGCGCTGTCCAAGTGGACTGGCCACATCCCCGGGGACGTGGTGAGGGACATGGCCCAGATCGCCCCCATGCTGGCTCGGCTCGGCTATGACCCCTACGCGAACCCACCCAACTATGGCAAGCCCGACCCCATCGTCGTCAACAACACGCACCGGGTGAGTATGCACGCCTGCCCACGGGGAACCCAGCTCTCAGGCCTGGGACCCCGAGCCGAGGGGGAGTCTCTGCCTGGGTGTCGTGTTTCCCTGACATGACAGACATGCTTGGGTTTCCATTTTCGCTTGGGCTACAAGGAAGCTCAGAGCCAGCTGGTGGCCTTGCCTCTAATACCCTGTGGCCTCTTAGAGTAGACCCATGTGTGTACTCGTATCTTCTTTCTCCTATTTCCTACTGTTTCTTGTTTCTGTCTGCAAAGCACTTTAAATTCTCACCAAACCATGGGAACCCATCAATCAGCTGTCAGTAACTTGGGTGACCTGTGAGGTTTGCTGTTTCCTGTAGCAGACGAGAGCTGAGCTCAGTGCTGTCTGAATCTCTTTTCCCTTTGTCCCGAGTGCAGGTGCTTATGATATTTTTGAAGTGTGCCTGTAGGCTGTTGCACAGGATGAAAGGACGGCTCCCAAGTTCATGGTGTGGTTTATGTGCTTCTGGTTTCCTTTGGGTGCTGGATTCTGGCTCCCATCGTGGCACTAAGTCAGTTAACATCTTTGCAAAAAGCGACCCTCGCAGCACTGACCTCACGAAGCCCTAGGGTCTTGGTGTAAGCTCTGCTCAGCATTTCTAAGCTGGCGCTGATTTGAGCAAGTAGCCGGTTCTCTGACCTTCCCTCCTGTGCCTGAGTTGGCTGCAGGAGGAATTCTCCGCCTGCTGCTCTTGAGCCCTTGGTGCTTCTGCACCAATCGCGCTAATCCCTCTGTTAGACAGTTTCCTGGCCCTGGACAGGGGCGGGGTGGGGGGGCCGTGCCAGGCTGCGGGGGTCATGTGTTCCCTCTCACGCACGACAGCCGATTCTGGCCACATTTTGTTTCCGAAAGTATTCAGGAACCGGCAAGTATAAGTATACCCAGCCACGCTGGTGGTGTGGCCATTCATAGCTGGGGCTGTGGTTCATATTTATTATATTTATTCCTGACTTTATCCTGTTCATCTTTAATGATAGCAGTGATTCTTCACCATCTTACGTGCTTTCTGTACTTTGTGCGTATGCCATGCTTCTAGTAATTAACTTGAAATATGGCTATATCCCATTAACTTCTACAAATATTATGTGTCAGCTCAAAGCAACATAAGCCAAAAACGGGGAGGGCTTTTGGCATGCAGGTTCCAATGCCACGTAGAGTAGCTCTGTTGCATATTGGAGCACCAGTTTTGCCTCTGGGCTGCTCACCCACCTTCCTGCTAATGCGTATCTTGGGAAGCAGCTGATGATGGCTCAAGCCCTGTGGGTCCCTGTCACCCACATGGGAGATCCAGACGGAATTTTGCAGCTCATGGCTGTAGCCTGGCCCAGCCTTAGCTCTTGCGGGCACTTGGGGAGTGAATCAAGCGCTGGAAGATCTCTTACTGTTTATCTCCGTGTGTCTGTGCTTCTCCGATGAAAATGACAAGTTGTTAAAAACCAACATACACAGCCAAGATACTATTTTGCCTAAGATAATCATAATAATAGATTAAGAAGAGGACTGTGGGATGAACTAAAGTTCAACCCTTTTTACTTTTCAGAAACGGTGGTACTCTGGCCTCTGCTCCCAGTGCTTGCTGGATTAGGGGCCCGGAGGCGCCCAGCCTGAGGCCTGACACACACAGCCCAGCCTGAGGCCTGACACTGTGTGTTCTAATGATTGCTGCAGGTCTAAATAACTCTTCTGAGCTTAGTCTGTTTCTTTTTAAGAGCAAGAGGTCTCTAAATCCTTCCTGAGAGGTTTCTTGCCTGGGGGCTCCTTGAGTCTCAGCGGGTATCTGACACTTTGTTTATTTTTCACACTGTACCTTTCCTGCAAATTCAAGTTCCTTGGTTCTCAGGCCGTGTGTGTGTGTGTGTGTGTGTGTGTGTGTGTGTGTGTGTGTGTGTGTGTGTGTGTGGTTTTGGTTTTTAAGATTTATTTATTTTTATGTGAAAGGCAGAGTTACAGAAAGAGGAGAGACAAGGAGAAAGCCTTCCATCTGTTGGTTTACTCTCTGAATGGGCTGGTCCAAAGCCAAGAACCAGGAGGTTCTTCCGTGTTTCCACTGGATGCTGGGGTCCAAGGCCTTGAGTCATCCTCCGCTGCCTTCCCAGGCCATATGTCTGGAGCTGGATCGGAATTAGAGCAGCCGGGACTTAAACTAGCAACCATATGGATTGTCGGTGTGGCAGGTGGAGGCTTAAGCTATCATTCCACAGCACCGGCCCCCTCCTGTTACTCTTTTTCATATGGCTACTAGGAAATGTGAATTCCCTGATCAGTTCACATTCCAACTCAATTGGACCACAGCAGACACTGGTACCTTCCGTGCTGAGAAAGCATGGGAAAGCCTGAGATGTCCTGGTTCCCACCTCAGGGCCTTTGCACTGGCTGTTTCCTTCTCAGCTTCACCTGACTGGTCTTCCTGGTTATTCAGGGCTCAGATCCAAGGACACCTGTTCCCCGGGCTCTTCTGAGCTCTGAAGAAGCCCCCTGGCCAACCCTGTATTTCACTCTCTTCATGATACCTCCTGCAATATGATGTGTTCTTTGAGTTTGTTGTCACTTGTATTCTGTCTGATGTCCCCTTTAAGGAGGCTCCAGGAGAACAGGAATTTCAAATAAACCTGCAAGTACTTGGAACAATGTCTGGAATACAGGAGCTCAGCAGATAATGGGTGGCTGGAAAGAGAAAGAAGCATGGGTGGATGGGTGGGTGGATGGGTGGATGGATGGATGGATGGATGGATAGATGGATGGATGGATGGGTGGATGGATGGATGGATGGATGGATGGATGGATGAATGGATGGATGGGTAGGTGGGTGGATGGAGAGACAGAAAAGTGGATGCATTGATTTTAAATGGGTGATGAATGGCTACATCAGACATAGAAGATAGAGAAGGACATAAAGGGAAGGAGAAAGGATGGAGAAATAAACAAATGTATGTGTTTCGGGGTAAATTTTGGTTTTTGATTGCTTCCACGTGGTGATATTTCTTTTCTATTTCCTAGGTCTTGAAAGGGGACTACAAGACACCAGCCCATCTGAAAGGATACTTTCAGGTTAGAAACCTCAGGGGGAGTTCTGCAATTGGCCCATTGTGGCAAGGTCGTGAGCTGGGTGCATATCCTGACAGTTCACTTCTGGCTTTTGGCTGACCCTTTCTCCAGTTCCCAGACTGGCGGGGCGGGGGTGGAGCCATAAGGTCTGTGGGTCTGGGCCACCCATGCTGGGGGCGGGGCAGGGGCAGAACCATAACGTCTCTGTGGGTCCCGGTGGCCCTTCTGCCCGAGCGGTCGTGCACCGTGGCTCTGGGCTCAGTTGCACTTACACAGATGTCCTGAATACTTTCCGTCTTTAGCCTTGAGTTCAGTTTTATTTCAAAGCAGCAGTTTCCAGACCCAGATTAATGTCGGTTCTCCTCCTGGCTGCATGTCCCTGTCAGGACTGGGACACTTCCTTACCAGCCCTCAGCGTGGACTCCTCCCCCTGCCATCAGTGAGGCTGTCCTCTGAGCTTTCAGATGCTCTCAGCCCATTAACTCAAGGGGTGATGCTGCAGTGAGCAGTCTGAATTCGTGTCTGTGTGTCTTTATTTGGCAAAACCAAAAGGGGATCAGTCCCCAGGTAAATGGTCAAATTCAGGACATGTGACATATTATTTGTTCTAATAAAAAAAAATAGTATTAGGGCTGGCTTTGTGGCAGAGCCGTTAAGCTGCCGCTGATGACTCCAGCATCCCGTAGCCCAGCACCGGTTAGACCCTTGGCTGCTTGTTTCTGATCCAACGCCCTGCTGATGCTCCCGGGAAGGCAGTGAGTCGTGGCCCAAGAACTTGAGTTCATGCCACTGACATGGGAGACCTGGCTGGGCCTGCTGCAGTCCTGACTGTGGCAGTCATTTGGGAAGTGGGTCAGGGGATAAAAGCTAGCTCTGTCTGTCTATATTGTTCTGCCTTCCAAATAAATACACAAAGAAATCATTAAAAAAAAAAACAATGAAGAAAAATCGGGGTGGAGGATCTATCCGCAATCTTAAATTCTTCCATGTGATACGGTACCTTTTTTTTTTTTTATCCACTTGAGCTTGAGTCTCTGCATCCGTTGCAATGCCCTTGTATTAACTGCTTCGTTTCTTTATTGGGTTCTGCTGTTAGCATTGCGGATAGCCACAGAATGTTCTGTGATGTGCATCTGCTTTCCTACGACCCTTTCCAATCTTCGCAGTGTCCCGAATCATGTCAGGTCATCAGCTGTCCCTCTTTCAGCAGAGGTCTATGGAGTCATGCCCACAGAATACCCTTTAAAAAAAAAAGAGAGAAAGAGAATTATTTTATTTTTACTGAAAAGTTAGACATACAGAGAGGAGGAAAGACAGGGAGATCTTCTGTCTGCTGATTCACTCCCCACGTGGCCACAACAGCTAGAGCTAAGCTGCCAGGTCTCCCACGCAGGCACAGGGTCCCAAGGCTTTGGGCTGTGCTCAACTGCTTTCCCAGGCAACAAGCAGAGAGCTGGATGGGAAGTGGGGCCGCCAGGATTACAACCTGCGCCCATATGGAATCCTGGCACATGCAAGGTGAGGACTTTAGCCTCTAGGCTACCATGTTGGACCCACAGAATACCTTCTTTAGGCGTGGCTCCAGAGGGTGGAAGTTCTCTGGAATCTTTGGAAGACTCTTGAGCCACAAGGCTCAAATTTTCTTACAAAAGGGTCATGCCAGTTCCCAGTGCCCCGCGGGTATGGCATACACAAGCTGTCTTAGCTGACTCGGGAGCAGAGCATGATGGGAATGGCACGTGCCTGCCCTCGGGGAAAGCAAGCCATGCTCTCTGCATTCACCGGGCAGGTGAAGTCATGCAGAACTGTGCAAAACCTGGCAGCAGGGTTAAGTCAGAGCTGGCCCATGCGTTAGCCATCCAGCGTGGTAACAGTGAGATCAAAATAGTCCCCCATCCAAAAGGATTAAGGAAGCAGAACAGAGTCATTCATACCTGAGATTAGGAACGGACATGGATGTGCAGGTTCCCCTGCCTGGGCTCCGGCTCGCCGCCCCCTTTCCAAGTCCTTGCTCCTGCCACTGCTGGGGGTGCTGTCCCACCCAGACCTCCGTGTACCTGGCCTTGTCTTCATCCTTGGCACGTGGGCTGTTTTCCAACATTAGCCACCAGTTCCTGGATTAGCTGCCCACCAACTGAACATTTGCAGGTTCCATTCAGATCTGACACCAACCCCACTCCCAGTGCCAGCTGCGGGGGGGGGGGGGTGCCAGGGCCACCCACTGTTTTGCCCTCTGGCTTGAGGTGTCTCTGGAAAATACCCTGCTGGCTGTTACCTGTCTGCTACAAAGAGAACTGACTGAGGCGCAGTCGAGTGAATAGGACAGGTGCCTAGCCAGCCTAGCCATCCAGCATGGGGGGCGGGCACGGACTTCCCATGCCCTCCTCAGTGGGCTAGCCAACCAAGTATCTGTGCTTAATGTGGACGTGATGGATTGAATTCAGCCTCCAGCCCCTCTCCCTTCCCCCAGAGGGTAATGAAGAAGTGATGTGAAGGAGGCTAGAGTTTTGTGGCACAGTGGGTTAAGCAGCTGCTTGCAATGCCTGCATCCCCCATCAGTGCAAGTCCCAGCTGCTCTGCTTCCAGTCTGGCTCCCTGCTAACGTGCAGGAGTAGTAGATGCCACCATGTGGAGGCCCCAGTGGAGATCCTGGCCTAAAGCTGGCTTTTGGAGCCTTTAGGGGAGTGAACCAATGGATGGAAAAGCTCTTTCTCTATTGCTCTTTCGAATAAATAGATCTTTCAAAGAACAAGGATGTGGGTGGTGTGTGGCTCCAAGTTGCCACCCTGGAATCCTGCCTGCTATACTTCTGACCCAATTCTGACCCATCCTTCTCCCCTGACCCTCTGCAAGGGCTCCCAGCCCACAGACACCTCAGCAGCCTGGCAACAGACACTCCAGTCCACCTGGAGATTGCCAAGGTGTTCAGGGGCTGCGTGCCAGGCGCCTGCGAGGAAGAGCAGATACTTTGTGTAACACTGCAGCCTTCCTGTCACGTGACCTCTGTGAGGGGGGCAGCCCTAACGCTGCCAGTCCCTCACAGCCCCCCGCCATATCGCCTCGATTTCCCCTTGTGTTGCCCATGTGTGTACTGGACGGGCTCTCACCGCACCCAGAATGGACGAAGCAGGGCTGGGCAGCTGCTGCTGACCACCCAGCATTTGGCACCTGGCACGAGCGTTGAGTGTGTGCACCTGATGCTGCGGGGGTCCTCGGGGGCATCCGCCACCTGGCCGTGACCTCTTCCTCTGCCTGTTGTCTTTTTCAGGTGAACCAGAACAGCACCTCCAGCCACCTAGGAAGCTCGTGATTCCAGGTAGGCCCACAGACCTTGCTGGGGGCTCCCGCCCCGCCTCAGAACCCCCAGTTTCCAAACACTTTTGTCCTTCCAGAGGCTCCCCAGGAACAAGTGTCCACTCAGGTGGGCCGATCTGCCCCCACCCCTTCCATCAGAGGTTTCCATGGTGACAGGCTGGGCCAGCTATTTATAGAACAGAAGCTTAGACTCCTGGTGGTGGACCAGCAATGCGGGCAGGGAGCTAAGTCGAACCTGCCAGAGGTTTGTGTGACATCAGGAAGGGGCACAGGCAGGAGCCCTGTGACAGGAGAGGATTCTGTCAAGTCGTTCTCGCATGGAATGCAGTGTGCCAGGCGGCCTTCGCTAAATGACCTCTGTGGGGTTTGGCCCAAAGCAATTAATTATTCTAATAATAGTCACGAGAAGTCCCGTGCTAAGAATAACCTCCGGGCACAGGGCCAGGGCCTCCCGCGTGTTACTCCTGGAACCCTCAGCATCCCTGGAAGGCAGGTGGACACAATTTCCCGTCTTAGCAAGGAGAAAAATCAAAGCGCGGAATGACGGCCTTGACTTAATCAGGGCTGCACGGCCACCAAGTGGCAGAAGCCCTGCCCCCCATCTCCTTCCCCTTCCCCAACCCTGAGAACCAGCTCCCCTGCAGTCTGTTGTCAGTAATGGGTTCCATACAGAAAGGCTTCAAAAAGTTCATGGAGAGCTGGAATGAATGAGTGGGGAGCCAGCATTTGCACCAAGCAGCCAAGATCGCTTGCTTCCCAGAGGACGGTGCCTGTGGTTGATTCTTGCTCCTGCCTGACTCCAGATCTCTGCTGGTGTACACCCTAGGAGGCAGTGGGTGATGGCTCAAGTGGGTGGGTATCTGCAGCCACCCAGCCTGGGAGACTTGGATGGAGTTCTGGACCCCTGGCTTTGAGTTGGCCCAGACCCTGACATTGTCATCATTTAGAAAGTGAACCAGTAGGTAAAAGATCTCTTTTCTGTCTCTCTCAAAAAGAAAACAAAATTTAAATTCATGCATATGTGAGGCTTCCAAAAATTCATAGAAAAGTCATATTCTGAAAAATCTGTGCATAGATTTCAAAGTAAGTCTTACAGAAAAATCAACTACATCTTCTAACTCCATTTTTCCACACACCTTTTTGGAGTGCTATTGTATTTTGCTAAGGGGTTTTTGTTAAAGTTCCTCCATCCACTGGTTCATTTTCCAAAAGGCTGTAATGGCTGGGGCTCGGCCGACCTGAAGCCAGGAGCCTCTTCCACATCTCCCATGTGGGTGCAGGGTCCCATGGACTTGGGCCATCTTTCCCTGCTTTCCCAAGCAAATTAACAGGGAATTAGGTTGGAACGGGAGCAGCCAGGACTTGAACTTGTGTCCATATGGGGTGCCAGCCCCACAAGCTAAAGCTTAGGCTACTACATGAGTGTTGGCCCCTCAAAATAAACTTGCTTTTCAATTCTGTTTTTTCATGCACTTTTTGGAGTGCTGCTGTATTTTGCTAAGCGATAAGGAAAGGGCTTTTGAGGTGTGGAATTCAAGGATTTGAGGAACTCCACGGTTGACCCCTCCCAGCCTCTATTGGCCCCATCTCGGGGATGGGGACGCCTCGATGTTCACCCCGGAATGTGGTCATGAGATGCAGTGAGCTGGGTTCTCCTGTGGTCTCAGGCTCTGGCGCTAAGGCCCCTGGGAACGCCCTCCCTCCTGAGTGTCCCCCAGCCTCTTTATCAGGCTCAAAGAAATAGGAGGGAAGGAAGGAGACCTCTGGGGAGACCAGCACCAGCCTGCACTGTGCCTGACCTGATTGGAATGGAACTGCTGGCCTCAACTCCGTGTTCAGTCTCCTGCCTTCCGTTTGGATCATCAGCAGACTCTGAAGTTCCTGGGGTTGGGGGGTGGGAGGGGGCTGCTCATCGGGCTTTCTATGTTGAGCTGGGCTAAGATCCCAGACCTCTGTTTCATTCCAGAGGAAAGGAGAGGGACCCTGGCCTGGGAGACAGCGTTTCTGTGTGTGAACTTCCTCACCCTCCGTTCCCATGGCGCAGCCCCTGCTTTACTGTTTAAATGAGATAGCCCATGCCAGTGTGTGTACTTTAGTTAGTCCCCACCACGGACTCAGCCTCCAACAAATGCCGTTCGTTCCCAGCCTGGCCTCCGGGAACCTGTTAGCCTTGACCATGTGCGTGTATATGTGGTCGCTGGCACTTGCTGGTTATAAACGAGAAATGTCTGTCTCTGGGTTCGGGTGGCTGCAGGTGGAGAGAGATGCGAGCAGGAGCTCAAGAACTCTTGGCACATTCAAGTTCTCTGTGGCCATCCGGGGTGCCTCTATAAAGCTGTCCCGCTTCTTGCGCGTGCATCTGCCATCACTCGGATAAATATAAAATGCTCTATTTCAGAATCGCTACCCTGGCCCTCATTGGCTCTTTCTCTCCACCTCCAGATCTCTGCAAATGGCTTTGTCGCCAAGAAGACCAGAAACTGCATTCGAGTGGGAATCAGACCTCTAATCCAAGCATATTGCTTGCTATTAATCACCCGAAAACAGGACTGCTTAATGGGGAATGTATTTGCATATGTTTGCAAAAAAAAAAAAAAGCCGAATCACGGAACGCTACACCTTGGAACCCCGTCTAGGGTGGAGAGCCGAGTATGGAAGCAGTCCTCTTTGAAACTTAGGTATTTTCTAATTTCACTCCCAAAACCTCAAGAACTGGTTTTGTTTGTTTTATTTTGTTTTGTTTTGTTTTTTAAAGAAACAGACTCGCCATCTTCCTTAATTCCCAGGACTGCCTCGGTGGCTTTGTTTGCTCCAGCAAGGCCCACCGCCTGTGCCTCTCAGCTGTTGACCCCGACTTGGAAAACTCAGAGAATCTATTTAAAAAGTTAATATATGAGGCTTTCTTGGGACTTTCCTCGGTTCTACCCAGTTCCCCGGGAAGGGGTTGGGGGAAGCGGAGCGGGCGGGGATTATTTGAATAAAAATGAACACAGTCTCATCTGTCTGTGCCTCGCTCTGTGCCTGTGAGTAGATTGTTCCTGCATGGTGACCGTTGTCACATGGACCGGGGACAGGTGGGAGGAGCTGGAAGGCAGGTCTGTGGCAAGCACGGCTGAGCTGTGTCGCCTCCCCGGCCACGCTCAGGTTTGATGACTTGGTCTGGGGACTCGGAGAACTCAGAAGGGTTGCTCCACTCATGGTTGTGGGAGGAGCCCACACGGCAGCATGGGGTCTCTCGGGTGCTCTATGCTTAATCTCCCTGTGTGAGGATGTGTGGCACGTGGGGATGGCCACCCAGGAGGTCCACCCGAGCCTCAGGGTCCACACTGCTTACTGGAGGGCAAGTCACCCATGGAGGGGAGCTGGCATGTGACCTACTTCCTCTGTCACTGGCTCCTGCAGAGGTCAAAGTGAGGACACAGCAGGCCCAGGCCCTGCTCGATGGTTACTAGCACACTATTCATGCAGACAGTACCTCTGGCCTGCTATGGCCATGGCCCCGGCTGCACAGGGACAGCAGAGCCCTCAGAGGGCCAGTGCCCTGTGGGGACACTCAAAGCCTGCCCAGGGAGCCCCATCCTGGACGGTCCCAGTTCCGAGTCCTTGAGGACTGAAGCATTGACATCCACACTGTTAACCTTTCAAAGAGGCTCTGGGAAGCTTTCAGAGTTGAGTTGCATGCATGATTGGAGTTAGGCTGACCCTGCCAGCTATATGGCTTGAGCCTTCAGCTCTTCACGTACCAAATGGGGAAGTGAAAGCTTTCTGGGTTTGTGGAGAGCAGCTAGCAGGTGATGCCGGCGACAGAGCCTGGCCTTGCCGAGCCATCATTGTGAGGGGGTCAGTCAGATGTCCTCTTGGCCTGCAGCTAGGGGACAGTCTTGTTACCTGTACCAAACAAGCTGCATATAGTTCAGTATCCTGACAGTCACCAACTGGGCTGAGCCGTCAGGCTCTGTTTTGGAATGTTCTGCTAAAACAATGATTTCTTGAGGAAGGGAGCCAGTGTTGTGTCACAGCAAGTTAAGTTGCTGCCTAGATGTCTGCACTCCACAGTGCTGGTAAGGAATCCTGGCTGCTCTGCTTCCAATTCAGCTTCCTGTGGATGCTCCTGGGAAGGGAATGGACGAGAGCCAAGGAGTTGGGTTCCTGCCACCCATCTGGCAGATCCAGATAGAGTTCCTGGCCCCTGGCTTCAGACTGGTCCTGCCCTAGCCTGTTGGGGGACAGTCTCCCCCTCCTGTACTCCAAAGCCCATTGGTGTCACTGTGCTTTTCAAATATAAATCTGGTTTTTTTTTTAAGTGTCATATCTATGCAGAAGGTGAACCCCTACCGTGGGGAAGGAATAGAGTTAATGGACACATCCCATCTCAGACAGTGACCCCCTTCCCTCATCTTCCCCCAGACCGAGGGACTAATGGCCATGTGTGTTTCATTGTCTCAGTTCTGGGAGCTAAGCAGAGTGAGCTGGAAAAGTCTCCAGTCAGATGGCAGCTGGCACTTAGGGTCATCTGAAAACTACCCTTTATACCTGTTGCCTGGGTTGGCATGGCTGTGGCACCTGGAGATGCCAGGGTGTCTCCCTCTGTACAGCCTCTGTGTACCACCTTGGACCTCTTTGTGACATGGCGGTCTTCCCGATGCTGGTCTCCTTCAAGAGCAAAGGTTACAAGGGGCAGGAGGCAGAACCGCAGGCCAGCGGAAGGCATATGGCTGGAATGGGCTCAGTGCCACTTCTGCCTCAATCTGGCTAAGTAGTCCCTGAGCCTCCTTCTCTCCTCCACATCAAGGAAGTGGAGGAAAAGGCAGATGGCAGAGTGGAAGGCCACCTTGCCAACGTGTATGCGGTGTGGGAGATGTCGTTGCTGGCAGTCTTTGGACATACAGTTGGCCACAGCCACCGTAAGAAACAAGCGATCGGCTTCAATGGAAGATGCCAGAATGACTCCTGAATGTCTGTGATATGCCAGTCCTCAGCCCGAACATCCAGGACTGGGTAGGGCCCAAACCGGAAGCCATGGGTTCCTTGTGTGTGGCCAGGAGCCCAGCTCCTTTAGTCATCGCGACTGCCTTCCATGGTCTGCGTTAGCAGGAAGCTGGAGTCAGGAATTAAAGATGACGACCAATTGCAGAGACTCCAATACAAGAAGCAAACAACCAGTGGCTTAGCCTCCAGGCCAGACCTAAGCTCCTTCCCTTACCATTCACCAAAAGTCAACCACCAGTCCCAGGAATTACTTTCACACTGTGACAGATATATACATGGACACTGCCCTCCTCTCCTCCCCTCACTCCTTCCCTTCCCTCCCTTCCTCTCCCTTCCTCTCCCCTCTTCTCTTTTTCTGTCACTCTGCCTTCCAAATTAAAGAAATATTAAAAAGAATACATAAGTACTCATTAAATATTTGTTGATGAGCAAAAGAATGACTCCTGAAATCTGTGGCTCCCACTTTCCCCTTGTGCTTTGGAGCTTGCTTGTTTTAAAGGTAATGCCCCAGGCCTGTGCAGCTTCACATCCTGGCTTTCTATAGAAAGAGTCTTCATGAATTTTCAAATGATAAACAGGATCGAAACCATCTGTAAGGAGCATGTAGGGGAAGATCAGATTTGCTAATCTCAGCTGATCTGGACTTTTCTTGCTGCCAAGTTCAGGACAACAGCTATATTTTTGTGACAGAACTCAAAATAAGCACCAGCCATGCGCAACCGTATAATGTCACCGTCCTAGAAAAAGTACATGTGCTAGACTTTAAATATATCAGCTCTGAAATGTCACTTAAGGATTGTTTCTATGGTACCAACCTATTTTAAGTTGTAAAAATGGTGTGAGATTTTTTTTTTTTCCCCCCAGAGGCGGTCTGGAAGCTGTGTTGGAGGGTCTGGGGTGGGGATGGGGAACAGCCTGGGGGGAGTCCGAATTGGATGATTCACATGTGGATTTGACTGTGTGACCCCGCACACACAAGAGTCCCTCCTATATTAGCTTAAGTAGGGCTGTACGTCTGGTGTTGTCAAGGAGGCAGAGTCTGGAAGCCCCGAGTTCTAGGCCCGACTCCACCCTTACATTCACTGTGGGGCACTGACCTTCACCTTCATGCCCCTCACCTCCCGTCGTCCTCTCCGTGAAAGGAACGAGTGATGTGTGTCACCTGGAGCTCTGCCTCCTGAGTGGAAGAGCCATGTTGCTCGGCAACCCCTTCCAGGAAGGCCACGTGTCAGAGCGCCTTATGGGAAATTTAAACTTGGGTTCTTCTTGGAAGTGATAGCAAATCAGGGTCGACATGAGACTCTGAACTTCAAATTCTTGCTATTTATTTATTGATTGATTTAGTCTCGCTTTTCCAAGGGCTGGGTGTTTGGACCCAGAAATCCCAAGAGACTCCCTAGAGATGGGGCACTGACTGGGCTTTTAGATGAAAATAGCCACAACCAGTTTCCAAACTCCAATTATTCTGGCTTTCTGTGTATTCATCAGCTCTTGTCGTCCTAGGATCCTCAGGCAGCAGTAAGGTCATTGTCTCCAGTTTGCAGATCAGAGAACTGCGGATGGAGAGTTGACCCATCCTGCTCCAGGTCCCATGTCTGGCAAACAGCAGAGCAGAGATCTGTATTCATGTCATTGTAAAGCCTCATTTGAAAAAAAAAAAAAAGTTGTACTTAAAGAAACATCTCTCTCTCTCTTTTTTTTTTTAAAGATTTATTTTCATTATGAAACCAGATATAGAGAGGAGGAGAGATAGAGAAGATCTTCCATCTGATGATTCACTCCCCAAGTGACCACAACGGCCGGTACTGTACCAATTCGAAGCCAGGAGCCAGGAACTTCCTCTGGGTCTCCCACGCAGGTGCAGGGTCCCAAGGCTTTGGGCTGTCCTCAACTGCTTTTTCAGGCCACAGGCAGGGAGCTGGATAGGAACTGGAGCTGCCGGGATTAGAACCAGCGCCCATGTGGGATCCTGGCCTGTGCAAGGTGAGGACTTTAGCCACTAGGCCACGCCGCTGGGCCCGAAAAATCTCTCTCTTAACTATCGGAAATGAAGCTGCCCACTTGGTACCCTAACTGGGCCCCCCGCCTGGGTAGTAGGGACACACGGGCTTGAGCTCCCACCTGCTGACTCTTAGGGTCTGCACTGGCAGGAAGCTGGAATTGGAAACACAGCCAGCAGACACATCCGGGCCCTCTGATATGAAGTGTGAGCATTGTGGCTTCTGGGCCAAATTGCCTGCTCTGCAGTCTGCACACTCTCCTTCTCATGGTTCCATTTATCGATTCGAAAATTAAAGAGTCGTATAGAGACTGGTCTTCCACGCACTGGTTCATTCCCCACATGGCTGTAATGGTCAGGGCTGGCCCAGGCTGGGGCCAGCCACCAGGAGCTCCATCCAGGTTGCGCTGTGAGTTCACAGGTCTAAGCACTTGGGTTATCCTTCACTGCGTTTCCTAGGCATCTTCACAGGCAGCAGGCTCAGAAGTGGAGAAGCCGGGACACGAACTGGTGTCCCTATGGGATGCCGGCATCCTAACAGTTACCTTTCCTCACGACATCATGTAGGAGTTGCAAGTCTGTACTCCCGAGTCACCCCATGACCGTGTGCAAAATACCCTCCTGCAGAAGCCACCAGGCTGGGTCCATTTGGTGACACAGATCCACCCGCGCCTGTCTCGTCATTCAAATCAGTGCATTTCCATCCACTGTATGGCAAAGCCAGGGTCACAACCACAGAAAGCCGTGCTCGCTCACGCTTGCTTCCAGCCAATCTCTCCGTTTCCCTTGGTCCCTGGAGTCTGTTAGACCCTCTCCTTCTGCTCCTGGCTTCGGATTGGCTCAGTTGTGGCCGTTGCTGCCACGTGGGGAGAGAATCAACGAATTGAAAAGCTGTCTATCTCTCCTCTGTAAATCTGTCTTTCCAATACAAATTAAATAAATCTTAAAAATTTTACTTTTAAGATGGGCAGCGGGGGGGGGGGGGATCTTTGTTGTTCACTGAATCCTTTGGGCCTCCCACAGTGCAAGCACAGGTACTATTTATATAATCACATCCGCGCGTGGACAGACTCTGCCACCTGTTACACCCGTCAGAAAAGCACTATTTCTCGGAGAACTCTAGAACACTCTCCCATCCTTTGCTCACCAACTCTAATCCCCACTTTATACATTTAGATTCGAAACGCTACTCTTTTTAGTTCCCCAGCCTGTCACCCAAGGATCAAACCAGCTCTAGCGTCGCAACTCTGCCATAGCAACCGGCAAGCCCTTTCACGCAGAGGTCCTTACGTCATTTCCGGCGCGCCGGTCTAGCCGCATCCTACTTCCGGCTACAGGAGCGGTAGCGTCGTCTCCGCGCGGGGGATGTGAAGTTGAGTTCTAGAACCCCTAATCGGATCCGTAAGCGAGGTCGGGCCGTGGGACCCGGGAGACTACGGGGTAGGGGTCGGGGGGTCGGAGAAGGCAGGCCTCGGCCTGGAGCCTGTGTGAGAGTGAGTGTCGCCTGCAGCCCGGACGGAGGGGCGGGTCCCGGTGGCGGCGATCGTTAGAGGTGTTGGGGGGCAGGTGGCCGTTGGGGAAACGTCTGGGGGCTCCGAGTGACACCCCGGAGCCGCCTGCGCCCTGGAGGGACCACAGTTGGAGTTGGTGCCTGGGATCTTGAGTCCAGCCGGCATAGCCTCCTTTGGGCGAGTTGCTTAGCGTGTGGGGGAGCTCCGTGGAGGCGTCCTCCACCCTGGACGTCCACCTCATGACCTCTCGTGAGAACTCGGGAGCTCGTCCCTGCTTGGGGTGTGTGTGTGTGGGGGGGGGGGGGTGTTATGGCCGTACCCTGCTCAGGGAAGTGGCGGTGCCCGCCGTGTGTCTCCGGCAAGTGCCACCCGCCTCCTCCGGGAACGCTGGGGTCACCTGCACCTGCCACAGTGTGGCTATGAGTGGGAGACGCGGGGGGCGACTTGCTATTAGGTTGGTACCTGCCCATGGAAATGATGGACTGTCCCAAAGGCTGCTGGTCACTCCTGCCAGCCACGCCAGAGCCTGCTGGTCACCCTCACGTATGGGATCTATTAATTACTGTGGAGTGCAACCGAGCTGGGCCCTTTGTGTCCAGCTGTCAGGTGCTGTCAGGTGGAGGTGGGGATGGAACTCGGGCTGTGGTTTTACCCAGCAGTGATGGAGACGATGATGATGATGAATGTAGGCCATAGTGGGGATTTGGGGAGAAGCTGTATTCTTGTTGAGCGTTTGTGGGAAGTGAGTTTTTTTTTTTTCCTCGAGTGGTTTTGATAATTCTGTAGTGCTGTTGATCCCCGACCTGACTTGTGTGTGCTTGTCAGTATTAGGTCTGGCTCAGTCCCTCACTCACATCAGCCTACATACACACTGGTCGTTGCAATTGCTGGGTTGGTTCTGTTTCCAGCCCTGTCTCTTGCATAAATCAGTGGATGCTGAGACTCAGCCTGACCCTGCCCACCGCATACTCAACCCTTACAAACATCAGCAGAAACTGCAGCCTAGTTGGAGCGGCCCCCTATAACCCCCTGCAGAACCACCCCAACCCTGGTTGCTGTGCTTGCCAGTATGTGCGGCAGACTGGTCCCATCTGTCCTATATCCCATTCAGCTCTTGTACTTGTTACTGGACGTTGAACCCTAGCTCAACTCAACTGACCCCACTATCCAGCCCACACTCACGCCAGTGGGTGCTACTACTGTCTAGCCAGACCCGCCTCTAACTCTGATTCTCATGGGAGCTGCAGCCTGTCAGAGAGGTGCCACAGTTTTCCCACTGGGCCCACTGCCAGTCCCAGATCTTGCACTCTCCAGGTGGTTCTGCAGTCTAGCTTGACTGATTTGCCCCCAGTCCCAGCACTTGCCAGCTGATGCTGTGACAAAGCCCAACCAGCCTGCATTTTTACTCTGGCTCATGCATGCACCAATGGGTACAGTTGGTTAGCCCAGCCTGGCTGTCACCCTAACCCAGCTCACAAGCAGGCCATCAGGTAGTGTGGCTCTGCCCAGACTGGTCTGCCCCGAGTCTCAGGTCTCAGGTGCACCAGTGGGAGCAGTAGCCCAGCAGGGGAATCCCTGCAATACCCCCCTCCACCATACACACAGCAAAAGGCTCACTCCCTTCCCTCCTCCCCTGTTCCTGAATGTGCTGGTGGGTGATGTGGCCCAGTCTGGCATGTCCCACCTCACCTTGGCATTTGCTAGCAGATGCTATAACCTTCCTCAATCCGGTCTGCCCCTGTTCTAGCTCATTCTGGTGGGTTCTGCAGCCTAGGCCAGCCCAGCCAGCCCCCAGTTCTGGCCCTGATGTGAACTGGTGTGGTCTGACCTGACCTGTCTTGCGCTCTATCCTGCTTCTCAAGTCTGCCAGTGGATATTATGAACTGACCAGCCTGGCCTGCCCCCAGATGGCAGGTACCGTAACCTGGCTTGCTCTGGGCTGCTCCCAGCCTTGGTTCTTGCGCTCCCCTGCAGGTACTACATCCTGACAGAGGAGTTCCCAGCCTTGGTTCTTGCTTGATTTCTAAAATACCTATTTTTTTAAATTTATTTTTTAGTTACAAAGTCATATATACAGAGAGGAAGAAAGACAGAGGGAAAGATCCTCCATCCGTTGATTCACTCCCCAAGTAGCTGCAATAGCCAGAGCTGAGTGATTGGAAGCCAGGAGCCAGGAGCCTCTTCCTGTGCACACAGGTGCAGGATCCCAAGGCTTTGGACCGTCCTTGACTGCTTTCCTAGGCTACAAGTAGGGAGCTGGATGGGACGTGGAGCTGCTAGGATTAGGACCTGCATCCATATGGGACCCTGGCACATATAAGGCAAGGACTTTAGCCGCTAGGCTACTGCGCTTGGTCCCCCAATTGGTTTCTGACTGATGCTTGCCAGTGTCTGCTGGGTCGTCTAGTAACAGGGAGTAACACTTTGAATTCCACTTCCTTTCTCCGCCCTTCCCAGAGACTTAACCACACGCCGTGTCCTTTCTGTCCCCTCAGTGACTGGCCATGTCGCTCTCCCACCTGTACCGGGACGGAGAAGGCCGCGTGGAGGATGACGACGATGAGCGGGAGGACTTTGAGATCACCGACTGGGATCTCCAGAATGAGTTCAACCCCAACCGGCAGCGCCACTGGCAGACCAAGGAGGAGGCCACGTACGGGGTGTGGGCCGAGCGCGACTCGGACGAGGAGAGGCCCAGCTTCGGAGGCAAACGGTACTGCCGGGCTGCGGGGCGGAAGGCGAGGGCGGGCAGGGGCACCCAGGGGAGGGTGTGCACGTCCCTCCCGCCTCATAGCTAGTTCAGTCTTCATTTTCAAATGTATCTGATAGACGTAAGCTTTTTTTTTTTTGAAGTTTGCTTGATGTCGTTCATGTGTTTTCGCTCCAGAGCGTCTGCTCTTGAATGTCACTATTTCCCGACTTGACCAACATTTGGTTTCTTTTGTTTTTGTAATTGAAATAATTCACCTCAAACAACGGATCGTGAGTTAAATGAATTTTTTCAGGTCAAAGGGAAATTGGAGCATCGGGTCTTTAGTAATTATTTGTAAGATGCCCCTTGATTTTCTTAAGGATCTGTTCAAGAGGCAGAGATACACAGCCGTGAGCCACCGTCTTCTGAGTCACTCCCCCAGGGCCTGGACTGACCAGGACAAGGCCAGGCGTGCCGTGTGGCCGGAAGGACGGGCCCTGATGAGTTGTCACCACGGCCTTCTAGGGGCTGCCTTAGCAGACGCTGCGCCAGGAGCTCGGAGTGCTTAGCAAGCATAATCACTGTGATGTGGGACCCAGCCCGCATCTGCTGGATTTACAGCAAGTTCTGCGTCGGTATTGATTACCCTTTAGTGATAGATCTGAATTGAACATACCAGTTTAAATAATGAGGGTGCTAGGGGATGGCAAATTAAGCTGCCGTCTGTGGTCACTAGCATTGCATTTGGGCGCCAGTTTGAGTCCTGGCTGCTCCTGTTTTTTTTTTTTTTTTTAAGATTTATTAATTTTTATTACAAAGTGAGATATACAGAGAGGAGGAGAGACAGAGAGGAAGATCTTCCGTCTGATGATTCACTCCCCAAGTGAGCGCAACGGCTGATGCTATGCCGATCCGAAGCCAGGATCCAGGAGCTTCCTCCAGGTCTCCCACACGGGTGCAGGGTCCCAAGGCTTTGGGCCATCCTTGACTGCTTTCCCAGGCCACAAGCAGGGAGCTGAATGGGAAGTGGAGCTGCTGGGATTAGAACCAGCGCCCATATGGGATCCTGGTGCGTTCAAGGCAAGGACTCTAGCCACTAGGCCACGGCGCCAGGCCCACGGCTGCTCCTCTTGTACCCAGCGCCCCAGCTCCCTGCTAACGCAGCTTAGGAAGCAGTGGAAGGTGGTTCAAGTGCTTGCGTCCCTGGCTGCAGCCTGGCTGTTGGGGCCATCTGGGGAGTGACACACCTTGTAAACCTCTCTCTTGTTTTTTTCTAACTGTGCTGCTTAAATAAGTAAATAAATCTTAAAAAAAAAAAAGCTATATGTGATTACATGAAGCCAGATCTGGAGCCTTTTTGATAATTTAGCATATGAGAAATAGTCCAGAAATTCATGAAAAAAATCTGTATTATGAAAACTTAGCATGCATTAGTGTCAGGGTTTTTTTTTTTTTTTTTTTTAATGTGCCTGTTGGTAGTCACCTGCATCCCATGGGAGCCACCGTCTCAGTACCTCCCTGGCGGGTGGGCCAGGGTTCTGGGAAGGGGTCATCGCTGAGGAGTTCTTGAGCCCCAGGCGCCGTGTCTGCCCGCAGACCACGCGACTATTCGGCGCCCGTCAGCTTCATCAGTGCGGGGCTCAAGAAAGGGGCGGCCGAGGAGGCGGAGGCTGACGATTCCGATGACGACGGGAAGCCCGTGAAACAGGACGACTTTCCCCCAAAGGATTTGGGACCCAAGAAGTTAAAAACGGTAGAGTCTTCGTCACTGGATCGTGACCCTGGGAACGTCTTTCTGCGGGTATTGTGGCTGAGCGGGGACCTGGTCACGTGGGTTTGTGTGTGGTGGCAGGTGTGTGAAGCCATGTGGGGTGTGTGGAACAGTCTCGCTGCGTCCTGGCACGCCACACAGATGCCTCGTGGTTCCCCTGTCCCTTCTCATAGCTCTCTGCACCTGCCAGGCCGTTCTCTCATTGGCCAGACTTTCTCAAACTTTTCTTTTTCTTCTCTCCCGTTCAATTATTGTTCTCCACAGGGTGGGAATTTTAAGCCGAGCCAGAAAGGTTTCGCAGGCGGGACCAAATCTTTCATGGACTTTGGCAGCTGGGAAAGACACACGAAAGGGATCGGGCAGAAGCTGCTCCAGAAGATGGGCTACGTACCTGGAAGGGGCCTCGGAAAGAACGCCCAAGGTACCGCCCCGTGGCCCTGCAGCCCTGCAGCCCTGCAGCCCTGCAGCCCTGCAGCCCTGCAGCCCTGCAGCCCTGCAGCCCTGCCCAACAGAGGCAGGGTGCTCATCAGCTCCCTTGGGTCCAAACGTGGGTCAGTGGGGCAGAAGGAGTAGGATCTAAAGGCTGGCCAGTGTTTCCGAAGAGTGAATGAACTTGAATGATGAGGAAGTGGTGATCTAGGGCGATGACAGAGGAACTCCTTATTGCAACCTCAGCAGCACGGGAGGGGAAGGGGGACGGGGAGAAGGAAGTCATAGGGGAAGTGAAATCTTTCAGATGTGATCCTGTCCCTAAAGGCTTTTATGAGAAAGACACAACATTAACAAGTGTTACCAGACATTGGATGTGTTGCAGAAAAGCCAGACGTGGCAGCTATTAGCTGTAAAAGTCAAATAGCTGACAGATGTCTTGGACCGTCTTGGAGCAGGGGATGCAGGCTCTAGCTGTGTCACTGACATCCCATGCCAGTTCACATCCGAGCTGTTCCACTTCCTACCCAGCGCCCTGCTAATGCATTTGGGAAAGTGGAGGATGGCCCAAGTGCTTAGGCCCCTGTTACCCCTATGGGAGACCAGGATGGAGTTCCAGACAGCTGGCATTGGTCTTGGTCTGGCCCACACCCCATTGTGGACTAGATAGTTCCATGGCAGCATGAATGCTCAGAACTTTCAGATGGCCTGGGGCCTGAGCAGCATCCTTGGGCAGGGCAGGGTAGGGCAGGGCAGGGCCTTGTGAATGCTGTGTGTTGCTCTGTGTGAGGGGCGAGGCAGCAAGGTGTCCCTGAGTGCCTCATTCACATACCTGAACTGCTGTGATCTGAGGTCTCTCTGTCTTCTGCGGGAATTTGCCAGGCATCATAAACCCCATCGAAGCCAAGCAGAGAAAGGGAAAGGGAGCCGTGGGGGCCTACGGCTCTGAGCGGACCACGCAGTCCCTGCAAGACTTCCCCGTGGTGGACTCGGAAGAGGAAGCCGAGGAGGTAAGGGAAGGCGGGGTGGCGGTGTCCTATGTGCGCTCCTTCCTGTTGTCTGTCTGCATGCTTTGGCTGCGCACCTGCTCGTCCCCAGGCCAGCCTGACCATGACACTGGTCTCAGGGCCTGTTGGACCAAGACACATAGTAGTGAGCCAGGGACCCCGGCATGACATGCGGGCAGATGCCTAGGCTGCAAAGCAAGGGGAGGGGAAAGGGTGCGCCCCAGCAAATGAACAGGGCATGGGGAAAGAAACAGTCCCATTGAGGCATGATGCAGCCTGGGGCGAGATGGGAAGCCCAAGGGTATGGAGGAGAAACTCAAGCTCAATGGTGACAAGACCCTGGAGAGCCACAGCAATGGGCAACGGGTGGGCAGCCCAGGAGCAGGGAGGGGAAGGGGGCCTCGAATGCAGCAGGGAGCCACCTGCTGGCACCTGTGTCACTGGACACCAGCCACAGAAGGAGTGGGAAACCAGGGTGAGAACCACTGTGTTTTCTTGGTGTTGGCAAGATAAGCAGGTGCTGCTCCCGGGAGCATGTTTGCTGCTCATCAGTGACCTTAGGAGGAAGGAGACATGGGGTTTGGAATGGACAGTGCGTGTCCGGAGCTCAGCATGCACTAGGGGTACGCCCTGTGAGCCAGGCACGAGGCTGTCACGGCTGGAGGGAACTCGGCTCCCGGGGGAGGATGTTACCTGGCCATGATAGTGTGAGCTCAGGCCTGTCTGATACCTGAGTAGTCAGACATTCAAATATTTTGGGGGCAAGAAATTCTATGTTTAGACCAGTGTGAGAAAAGTACAACGCTGGCCACACCGCCCACCTTGGAGGGCTGGGCTGGACCATCCTCAGGTCTGCTCCGTTACTTTAGCCCTTCAAGTTCTTATAGATCCTAACTGTGAAAGATATTTTACCTTGTGACTTTATCTTCCTTTTTAGTTGGAACCAACGTTAGGGCACTTGAAAAAAAAAAAACTTATGTTGTGCTTCAGAGTTTGATGTGAGCTCAGCCATAGGGCTGCCCATAGAAGATGCCCAACATGTGCCGCCTTTACCTTTGTTTCTCACCGCAGTGGGAGCTGGCACACCTGCCTCCTGAACCCCACTGTTGCTGAGAGGCCAGGTGGCTGTCACGGCTTTCAGTGGCATGCAGGCCCAGCCCTCAGCGTGGAGCTGGGGCACATAGGGGAGGCTGCTCCGTGCCCTCCAGCGGTCCCGTGCAACGTGCTGCTTCCTGTCGTGACCAGTTGCTTCCCTCTGCGTTAGGAGTTTCAGAAGGAGCTGAGCCAATGGAGGAAAGACCCCAGCGGAAGCAAGAAGAAGCCCAAATACTCTTACAAGACGGTGGAGGAGTTGAAGGCCAAGGGCAGGATTAGTAAGAAACTCACGGCTCCCCAGAAGGAGCTGTCTCAGGTCAAGGTAAGGGCAGTCCTGGACGTCTGGCCCCGGGCTTGTTCAGAGTTGTCAACACACAGCCCCACACGGCAAGGTCCCCAGTCCCTGGATTGCTCAGCTTCCTCGGGTCTTTATCTCGGCCTTAGGTGTGGAGATGGGTCCTGATCTCACATGAGCGTTCCATGCTGACGTTCATTAAGCTTGTGGTTAATAACATGACCTCATGTTAGCACCTCAGTGCGCATCCATCTGGACCTTGAACATTCCCTGTACGCACTTTACCACATGTGATGCTGTGTCTTTCATGGGCTGTTCACATCAGGGGCTGGTGTCTGCCTCATCAGCACAGCCCCTGCTTTTCCATTACAGTAACTTGTCATCACCAATACTCGGTTCTTAAGGAGGCTTTCCAGTTTTCCCAGAAATCCTTCTTCATCCAGCTTGTCCCAAGGGATCCATTCTAGAACTGTTTGTTACATCTGATTATTCTGTTTCTTGAGTCTCAAATCTCATACAACGTGGATCCCACTTGGCGGAACACTGCCCCTCTCTGCTCTGCCTGGCTGCGTGTTGGGCAGGCAGCAGGGACGCTGACCCACGTTGTCCCCTCCACCATCTCCCAGGTCATCGACATGACAGGCCGGGAGCAGAAGGTGTATTACAGCTACAGCCAGATCAGCCACAAGCACAGCATCCCCGACGAGGGGCTGCCCCTGCCGTCCCAGCAGGTGCCGCAGTCCGGCAGGGAGGCCAAGGCCCCGGGCTTCGCGCTGCCCGAGCTGGAGCACAACCTGCAGCTGCTGATCGAACTCGCCGAGCAGGAGATCATCCAGAACGACCGGCAGCTGCAGTACGAGCGCGACATGGTGGTGAACCTGTCCCACGAGCTGGAGAAGATGTCCGAGGTGCTGGAGCACGAGCAGCGAGTCATCGGCAACCTCAGCAAGGTGCTGGAGCTGGTGGAGCAGTGCGAGCGGCGCCTGCAGCCCAACTGCAGCAACCCCCTCACCCTGGACGAGTGCGCCCGCGTCTTCCAGACCCTGCAGGACAAGTACCACGAGGAGTACCGCATGTCCGACCGCGTGGACCTCGCTGTGGCCATCGTCTACCCGCTCATGAAGGACTACTTCAAAGAGTGGGACCCCCTCAAAGTGAGTGGCCGGGCAGACCGGCCCTGCCGCCTGGAGGGCAGGGGCGTGGGTTGTGCCCTCCCGTGGCAAGTTGGTGCCCGGGGTGGGAGGGCTGGGTCCTGCCTCGCTCCCCAGCCTCGCCCTCTCTCTTCAGGACTGCACGTATGGCACCGAGATCATCTCCAAGTGGAAAAACCTCCTGGAGAACGACCAGCTCCTGTCACACGGCGGGCAGGATCTCTCCACAGATGCCTTCCACAGGTCCGTGCGCCGGGCCCCGGGCTCCTGCTGCTGTCTCCTGGGGCAGGAGTTTAAACATTCAGCTGACACCGTCATGTGGTAGCTTGGTCACATGTGTGCTAGGCACTGGGCTCACTCCGGAGCAGCCTGTGTATGGTACAGCGGACAAAGCAGGTGGCAGAGGAGGATGTGACAGACGCAGGGTGCACACTGGGCAGCCTGAGGGAGAGTCATAAGGACCACCCCTGTAGAGGGTTCTTGGGGCCAGGGGCTCTCCCAGAGAGGTGACATTTAGGCCGTGATGCAGAGAGGGGTCAGCTTTGGGGAGCAGGTAGCAGGTGGGAACATGTCCTGGAGTAGCGCTTGTCCTGAAGTCACTGTGCCTAGCAGTGGACACCAAGAGGCATAGAAGACAGGGAGCACCCAGAGGCAGGCCTAGGGCTGCCCAGCATAGGGATGGGCCTCGAGTATTCCTGGTATCCGTAATCTTCCTTGCTGGGACTCTGCCCTTTCTCTTGAAGGTGGGTGGTGGCAGGCGACCCTGGCATGCCAGAGTAGCAGCCAGGGCAGCTGAGCTATCTGGCCTTGCCTCTCCCCATCCAGGCTGATTTGGGAGGTCTGGATGCCTTTTGTTCGAAACATCGTCAACCAGTGGCAGCCGCGGAACTGCGACCCGATGGTGGACTTCCTGGACAGCTGGGTGAACATCATCCCCGTATGGATCCTGGATCACATACTGGATCTGCTCATCTTCCCCAAGCTGCAGAAGGAGGTGGGAGCAGCCCTCAGCTAGCCGTGTGCTCTGCCAGCATTTCTCCCTCGTTCTCCCAGTGCTGTTGGAGTGCGGGCCGAGCAGGATGCGCCAGCACAGCCATCCTGTGCTGCTGGCTCCGGCCCTCTTCTCGGCATGTTCCCCGCGTCCCCTTCAGTGCAGTGCACTCTGCTTCTGTGAAGCCAGAACCCTGCTGCTTTCTGATTTATCCCAGCTGTGTGGGTCTGCTTGTGGCAAGGGTGAGCATCTCTAGGGAAACCGAATGGCCTGCAAGATGCCTTGGCCGTCTCTTTGCACTTGACTGTGCCTTCCATAACCTGGAGACCTCTGCCCATGTGTGAATGACTTAGGCACCCGGCCAGGACAGCCCCAGGCCTCCCCCAGGGCTGCACTCTGCTAAGTACACCGGGGTCCTTCAGAGCTGCCACCCCAGACTGTGCGAAGGGTTTCTTTTCCCCATTCATCTGCAGGTGGAAAACTGGAACCCCCTGACGGACACTGTCCCCATCCACTCCTGGATCCACCCGTGGCTGCCGCTCATGCAGGCCCGGCTGGAGCCGCTCTATTCCCCGATCCGTAGCAAGCTGGCCAGCGCCCTGCAGAAGTGGCACCCCAGCGACTCTTCAGCCAAGCTCATCCTCCAGCCCTGGAAGGATGTCTTCACCCCGGGTTCCTGGGAAGCATTCATGGTCAAGAACATCGTGCCCAAGCTCGGTGAGGACATGGGGCACAGGCCTTCTGTGCCCACTCAGCCTTGCTGGCCTGGTCTCTGTGACCATTGGTGGGGACACAGAACAGCCTCTTGCGTGTGAGAAAAAACGTGTAGCACAGCTTATTTGTGCAGGGACTGGAGCTAAATGCCCCTGGGCTGCCTGTGCTGTGTGTGCGTGTGGGGATGTGACAGCAGCGGACTCCGTGTGCCTGCTGCATTTCCCAACTGCCTGGCCTTGTGCGAGCATCTGATGACAGGACAGCCCCTGGCATTTTCGTTTCTGTGGAATTGTATCCTAAACTGTTGTGGGTGAGAGAAAAAAGATGCCTTTCAAGAAGTGTTCCGTTAAGGCTTAGTCATGTTTGGAAGCGGGTCCGACGGGCAGTGTGTGGAGGACTTGCTCCCTGCACTGCCGTGGCCTCGCAGGGGGCTGTGTGTCTGAGCCCAGGCCCTGTCCTGCAGGAATGTGTCTCGGCGAGCTGGTCATTAACCCCCACCAGCAGCACATGGACGCCTTCTACTGGGTCATCGACTGGGAGGGCATGATCTCCGTGTCCAGCCTCGTGGGGCTCCTGGAGAAGCACTTCTTCCCCAAGTGGCTGCAGGTATGCTTGCTGGCGAGGCCTAGCCATAGCGACCGTGAAGTCCAGTGGGGCAGGAGTCCAGTGAATCATGGGGGCCGCAAGTTTCTTGTTTGTTCTTGGCAGGTACTGTGCTCCTGGCTTGGTAACAGCCCAAACTATGAGGAGATCACCAAGTGGTACCTGGGTTGGAAATCCATGTTCTCAGACCAAGTGCTGGCACATCCGTCCGTCAAGGACAAATTTAACGAAGCCCTTGACATGATGAACAGGGCCGTGTCCTCCAACGTCGGTGAGTGAACTGCTGAACCTGCAGGTGGCCGCCTAAACCCCCACCCCGTCACTCTTCACTCCTGCAGACACCGGCTCTGGGCCACTGGGCTGTTAGTGCTGGTCCCCTGTGACTGGGAGCGGAGACTGAAGCAGGCCTCAGATAGAAGGCATGGGTCTCACTCCAGGCCTCTCGTAAGCCCTTGTGCCGCGGGCCTGTTAGAATGCCTTCTCGGCCCCGCCCAGCCAGCTGTGTGCTGCTGTGACGGGCGGGCAGGCTCTCGGTGGGTGCTGCACTCCCCCAGTGCTGTTGTCATCTCCTACGACAGGTCACGGGGAAGTCACAGGAGTTAAGCTTAGTGCGTGATAGTATCTGCGTGTGTGTGTGTGTCAGAAGCAGGCAGTTCAGTGTTGGCTTGCCTCCAGGTAGGTCGCCGTGTTGTCATGGCGAAGGAGAGCTGCAGCCCAGCCCGTGGGAGCTCGCGGTACAGGGAGCTAACAGCCCCAAGCTGAGGCCTTGTTGTTAACTAGCTGACTCAGCCACCAACTGGAACCCAAGTGTTTCACTCAGTGTTTCACTAAGGCCAAGAGCTTTTTGGGGTTACCAGCTCAAGGAGAGCAGCTGGGACTGGAATATACCTATTCCTACTTTGCTTATTAAATGAAGACACTTAGAATTCGTGATTATATAAATACACGCTGTGTTTAATAGGGCAGTCACAAGTCTTCCTACTTGTCCAGGCCTTCAAGGACCATGGCCACCTCCTGTGGTCAGCCACCCCAGGCCCTGCATTCCTGTGCTGCTCTCTGCTCCTCAGCACTTGGCATCTGCAGTCCTGCCCTGCCCCCTAAAACTCACAGCTCCCCAAATATGTTGTAAATCCTTCCTGGGCAGGGGGCTGTGTGAACAACCTGAAACTACACCGGTCTAGCCCTGAACAGAGAACTGTCCTGTGCAAGTTTGCTCTTCTGCAGGACGCGCCCTAACTGCTCCGCTTCTTTGGGATTAGATGTGTTTGTGACACTGGCCAGCTATGTGCCTGCTCTCCCCACTGTCACCCCCAGAGCTGCCTGTCAGTTGTGTCTTCGTGTCTTTGAGGCCGAGCTGCCCTCGGCGAGTCGGTGCTCTGGCTGATCAGGGCATCCATCTCTGCCTTCTCTGTTGCAGGCGCCTACATGCAGCCTGGTGCGCGAGAGAACATCGCCTACCTCACCCACACGGAGCGGAGGAAGGACTTCCAGTACGAGGCCATGCAGGAGCGGCGCGAGGCTGAGAACATGGCCCAGAGGGGCATCGGGGCGGCGGCCAGCTCTGTTCCCACGAACTTCAAGGACCTCATCGAGACCAAGGCCGACGAGCACAACATCGTCTTCATGCCTGTCATCGGCAAGCGGCACGAGGGCAAGCAGGTGTATACCTTCGGCCGCATCGTCATCTACATCGACCGCGGGGTGGTCTTCGTGCAGGGCGAGAAGACCTGGGTGCCCACCTCCCTGCAGAGCCTCATCGACATGGCCAAGTAGACAGTGGCCGGCCCGCTGCAGCCAGAGGCTGCGACCAGAGGGACATGCAGGACCTGCTGTGTTGGACGCTGTCTGTCATGCCCGGCCTCCAGAAGTGCCTCGCCGTGTGCCAGGCTCTCGCCCGGTGTGCTGTCCTTGGAACAGGACGGCCTTGCGGAGGCGTTGCCTGTTCTCACGAAGGGTGGCAGGCCCCTGCCTCATCTCGCACCTGCAGGCTCTGGTGGCTTGCTCCTGATGATCTCCAGGTCCTCACAGTCCTGGTAATCTGGCTCCTCCTGGAACACCCAGGTTTCCGCAGGGAGCTGCTGCAGCTTCTGCCTGGGGAACCAGTGGACCGAAGTGTCGTTAAAGGTGTCCATGTACCGTGCGGTCTGGGTCAGCTCCAGCTCCTCCAGCCCCTTCAGGATCTGGACAGAAACACGTGGACATGAAAACTCAGCAGCCATGTCCCACCCCACTACTCTGGGGGACATTTTTTCACTGTATCTGCCACCTTTTTTTTTTTCTCCCTAAAGGAGTAAGGATAATTTGGTTTGAATGCCTTTGTGCAATGAATGGGGGAGCCCCTAAGACAGTGGGTATGCTGGACTGTGCTGCTGAGCACAGCATGGGCATCGTAACCACAGGTGGCATGGGTGTGCTGCCACATTCTGGCACCTGTGGGGGGAGCTCTGCTGGCAGCATGGTGTCCCCAGTGCGTGCAGCAGCACTATGTCACACCCCTGGCCACCCCTACCCATCTACCCAGATACCTTGGCAACGTAGGGGTAACTCCTTTGCAGAGTCCTCGTCAACAACCTGGAAATAAAAAGAAGCCACAATTGGAAGCTCTAAGGATGGTTTCACTTAGCATCCAACACAGGACAGCCAGGTGCCTTAGCACAGTAAGAATTCAGGAAAGTACCAGGGATGTGGGATAGGCCGAAGAGTGACAGCTGCACTTAGGCCTGCCTTCCAGAGAGACTGGCGTGGCAGCAGACATCTCAGCCGTGGGCCACAGAAAGCAGCCACAAGGGGGGCTTCCAGGCTTTTTCTGAAACCTCTGCATAAGGGGAAGGGGACTTTACTGGTAAAAAGAACACTGCTGAAAAAGCCTTTGTCATCGCTTAACTGGGCTGATGTCTGTCCTGTCCTGTCCCCTGGGGAATTTACTTCTGAGCAGGGAATGCCCGTGGGGACCCTGGCTACGCAGGCCCCTGCAGGTGCAGGCTTCCCCCGCCATCGGGCTCAGCCAAGCCTCCCTGGCCCCGGTCTCACCTTTCCTCCAGGCCCTTGAAGCTGTTGCCCATGACGAGCATCCGGGACAGCGCATCCACGGACCAGTTCCTCCACAGGAGGTTGTTGTACAAGGCAGTCCCACAGTGCGGCATGTAAAAGAGGGTGGGCTCGCCGGCCACGCTCCGCTTTCCTTCCTGGGCACAACAGTGACAGGGTGGGTGAACAGTGGCAGGGGGCAGGCGGGGACAGGTAAGGGGAAGGTGCATTCCGTGGTGAGGTCCCCTCAGGAGTGCACACAGCAACTCTAGCTGGACGAAGGTGACTTGGGAGGCCTCATGATGTCACGTTGAGAACAAGCAGTGTGTGTTAACATACATTCGAAGTCTTGGACTAACCCGGGGGTTTCTGTTGGGTCCCCGCCTCTGCAGCTTCCCTGTGCTAAGTTGCTGCTGCCCAACCCCTGGCAGGCCCAATTCTGTGGCCTGGGCAGGGCAGACTCCTGGTGCAGCCCAGGGCACCCACCTCTACTCCTGCATGCTGTTCTGTCACGGCTGTTAGCAGCAGCTTCTACCTGTCCGTGACATTCCTCGTTTATGGCTAACAGGACCGTGGGCTCCTAAACATGGAGACAGAGCTTATCCATCTGATCTCCCCAAAGCTGCCTGCCTGCCTGCCTGCCTGGCCCAGAGTGAGTGCCAAGCAAATGTGAAAACTGCAGAGCTTGACCCCGTCAGGGGAGTAACACCTCACTCGGCTGGGGCTCATTTCCATGTGGCTTAACAAGCTATTTGGTGGCAGTCTTAGGACAGATTCTACAGTCCCCAATCAAAATACAAAACTCCTGGGTATCTATCTGTTCATTGTGGCTTTGGCCCTGTACTTGTGACCTACAATTCTCTACCCTCAAGGGCCCAGAAATAGCCAAGCCCAGGCAGGGGGGAGAAGCTGAGACTCTGTCTGCAGATCCTGGCCAGGAGCTGTGGGTGCTCTGATAACATGGCGTCTGGTGCCAAGAGGAACGCCTGTCTAGGTGGGTGCATTGTGGCCACAAAGACCTTGCCTGAGGCACCTAGCCTGCCTCCTTGGTTGTTGCACAGAACCGTGTAAACCCTCACTGGTCCCGGGTCACGATGTATGTGACCCAGTGTGGGCCACCATGTAGATGCTGCCGAGCCCTGGAGGACAGGCCGTGGGAAGGGTGGAGCTGGGTCAGCCTTTGCCCAGCCATCCCCCGCCACCTCCGAGAAGCCCTCACCTCGTTCTCACGGAGAACAATCATGCCAAGGCTGCTCAGAACAGCAATTTCGAGTTGGCTGAACAGAGGGTCGTACACCCAGCAGTGACTCCTGGGGATCTGGAAGAGAGGCAGTTGTTGATTTTAGTGCAAACATCTGTGCACACTCCACTCCTGGCAAGAACAGGTGAGCGGGGATTAGGGGGAGGAGAATGAGGATGATGAGGCCACAACTTGTACCTGGCACTTTTCCAGGAGGAGAAGCAAGAAGGCCAGCTGGCTCCGAGCTATGACGCAGGTGGCAAAGTTGCCGAGGCCGTAACACACACACTTGACCTGGCAGGCGTCCAGGGCTGAACTGTCTGCAGGTGCCGAGCCATCTGGAGGTGAGGCCAGACACAGCCTTCCGAGGGCTTCAGACAGAGTCCCTGTGGGGGCCTCCAGTTGCTCCCGAATTTTTCTAAGACAGCTCGTGACAGTTTCTGAAAAGAGCAGAGGAGTGAGAGGACATGCGCAGACCTGGGAACCAAATCGCCCACACGAGAAGTGCACACACCCACGCGAGGAAGGGAGCGCCCAAGTCAGGACCTCGACGCCCCAGAAAGGCTGTCGGCCTACTTCCAAACTCACGGGAGCAGGAGTATTTCACGCATGAAAGGTCCACAGAACAGGCTGGGGACTTCGTGACTGTAATGAAGATCACGTTCTATTTTTTTTTTTACATTCATACTGAATTTTGTTGAAAAACTCTAAGATAGGGCCACCCCGGCATAGTAACCTAGCAGTTAGCATCCTCTGCTGAAAATACAGGGATCCCATACAGGCACTGGTTCTAATCCTGGCAGCCCCGCTTCCCATCCAGCTCCCTGCCTGTGGCCTGGGAAAGCAGTTGAAGACAGCCCAAAACCTTGGGACCCTGCTGGAAGAGGGGAGGAGACCTGGAAGAGGCTCCTGCTTCGGATCGGCGCAGCACCGGCCAGCTGGGGTCACTTGGGGAGTGAATCAACAGATGCAAGATCTTCCTCTCTGTCTCTCCTTGTCTCTGTATATATGACTTTCCAATAAAAATAAGTCTTTAAAAAACCTTCTGAGACAAAAAGGCCATGTATCCCAATAGTAAGGTACCAGTTACCTGATGAGATAACAACAGTCTCCCTCCCCTCCCACCCCAGCGAGAAACTGCTCTATGGAATAATTGGCTTTTGAGCTCCTGGCTGCCCAAAAGAAAATGATAAAAAGACTTTTGGAGAAAAACTTGGCAATGGATATCATGCTGGTCACCACCTAACACTTCATTCTGGTCCTTGGAATATACCCTAAGCCACCAGCCTAAATGTGGTAAAAAGCCTTAAAGTTGCAAACTTATGTATGACAGCCTAAAATCAAGGAAGAAACAAAACATCCCTCGACAAACTTGGCTCTGGCATATTCCCTCTAAGCGTTACATATATTATCAGGAGCCAGGGAGACAGCATACCTGGACGGGAGAAGAAACATCTACAACGTAACACCAAGGATAAAGGTTCCCTGAGGATAGCGGCTGGCCCTTCCCTCCTCCTGGGCAGCAGGCAAGCACTGCTGTCGGCAACCAAACTAGACAGCCACTGAACGCTCAAAACTATCCTACAGGATATGCGCAGCACCCCCCTCTTTCACAGCGGAGGGACGGGAGGCCAGAGTTAGTGATGTCTCAGCATTGACCAGGGGGGGAAGGCAGCATCCGCATCCGGCACCTACACCGTTCAGGAAAGCTAAATCCTCAGACCAGAACCTGCTCTGTACCCTCGCAGGGCCTCCCCTCCCACCGCGGGGCAGGGCTCACCTAGCGCTGAACTCCAGAAGTCAGAGAGCAGCAGGTCCGCCCTGTTGAGAGAGAAAAACCGTGATGGGGCTGGCAACGTGGCACAATACGCTAAACGTCTGTCTGCAGCACCGGTCTCTCGTGGGGATGCCGGCGGTGCGTGGCTCGGCTGCACCACTTCCCATCCAGCTCCCTGCTGATGACCTGGGAAAGCAGCAGGTCCTCGGGCCCCTGCACCCATGTGGAACACCCAGAGGAAGCGCCTGGCTGTGCATCAGCCCAGCTCCAGCCATCTGGGGAGGGTCTCTCTCTCTCTTCCACTGTGTTAACTCAATTAAATAAATCTTACACTGGGGTCCTGGGACACGGTCACCAGCGGCTCAAGCTGAAGCTGCTGTTAACAACACGCGTTTCCTGCGGGCGCCCGTGACCCCCCTTCGTTCCTGCCCATCGCTCCTGATCGGGTCTGTAGTGCGCCCCTAATTCCCAGATGGGAAGACTGAGTGAGGTTCAAGGGTGCCCAAGTGCGCGAGGGTCAGCACCCGGGCCCACCTCTCCACTCACTCAGCCTCCCGGAGGCGACGAAGCACGACTCCCGGGTCTGCCCCGAGCGCCTCCTCGGGACTCGGGGCCGCCGCTGCCGTCTGCCGTGGCCGCGCCCTGGAGCGCCTCCTCCGCGGAGCCGCAGCCTCCCACACGTCCAGCGCCGCCGCCGCCATGGGCCTCGCCGTCATCCGCACGCGTCGCGCTCCGACCGTGCGTCATCGCCGCGCGCAGGCCCGCCCGCAGCTCTGGGGGGAGGTAGGCGGGGCGGCGCGTGATCCCGGGTGCTCCCTTGCACCACCGTCACCACCATCACCACCATTACCGCCGCCGCCGCTGTCCACATTCCGGGCTCAGAGCCCCGAACCTCGAGCACCGAGCTGCCTGTGGCTTCTGGTGGGTGGGCGGCGCTGGAGGCGCGGGGACTCCCCGGGGCGGAGGGCGGGACCCCCAAACCTTTACCCCCTGACGCTGAGACCGGACGCATTGCTGTAGCCACTGCTCCCCCAAATTTGGGCGACTTGCTGCCCCTTCACGGCCTGTTGACACCCCTTTTCCAGCCCCTCCAACCCACTGACCGTTTCCGCCATCGCGGCCACTCTCCCTCCTGCCCCAGCTTTCCCTTTCTGCCCATTTCCTCACTGTGCTTGAGTCGGGTCGTCCAAGGCTGCGGGAACCTTTTCAGGTCCCAGCGCGAACCCAGGCCTTCCTCCACCCCATCCCTTCAGCGTCACAGGCGTCTTCCGGGTCTTCCCCAAAACCAGAGAGTGGGGGACCTTCCCAGGGTAAGGGCCAGGATCCCTGGGAGCTAGGAATTGGGAGGAACTGCTTGTTCCTGGAGTTCAGGAGCTGAAGCGCACCCCTTCCTACATAAGCAGCTAGATGAGCTGCCTGGAATGACTTCGACCCGCGCTGTAGGGTGCAGCTCCATAGATGGGGTCAGATGGAGATCATGGCCAGCCAGCCAAGTTATCTGTCTCCAGCGGAAGTATGAACGAGGGGGCTTCCTACAAGCAGTGCATTCTAAACTTTGTTGCTTGGGGATGAGGCCAGTAGGAATTACACATTCTTTTCTTTAATTTGTTTTTATCGGAAAGGCAGATAAACAGAGGGAAAGAGAGACACAAAGATCTTTCATCTGCTGGTTCACTCTCCAAATGGTCTCAATAGCTGCAGCTGAGCCATTCTGAAGCCAGGAGCCAGAGAGCTTCCTCAGGGTCTCCCACACGGGTGCAGGGTCCCAAGGCTTTGGGCCGTACTGCTTTCCCAGGCCATAAGGAGGGAGCTGGATGGGAAGTGGAGCTGCCAGGACACAAACTTGTGCCCGAATGGGATCCCGCTGCGTTCAGCAGAGAATTCACTGATTCTTCACACCCTGCAGATTTCACTCTTGAAGTCAACCAGGGTTGTTAGGTGGAAGGAGTTAGCTTTGCTTTGTTGTCCCAGCTGGCCAGGGAGCAGAGATTTCTGCGAGGCTGATTTTGGCTTGGCGGAGGCATCCGCTTAACACTGTGACCTACCTGGTGGGCTCCGGAAGCCGGAAGCCTGCAGGAGTCTGAGATTCCCGGATGACAGTGAATGATCGCAGAGCTGGGATCCCCTCGGATGCCCAAACACTAGCATGCACCCGCTTGTCTTCCTCTTGGGAGTTTTGGGAAACCACTTGACACGTTTTTCCTTCTTGCTTTTGGGAAACTTGGCCGTCCCTGGGACTCGGCGCGTTTGGATTTCTTAGTGGCCGGCGGGGTGACAGTTCCTTAATTTGGGTTCTTTTATGACTACAGTGGCCAAGCCGCTTGATGGTTACAGCTGTCCTAAACACCCAGAGCCTTCTCTCTCCACTCACACTTGTTTCATTTTATGTCTGTGAGGTTGGTGGTGCGTGTACTGTGACTGCTGAGGGGACCCACCCAGGCTCAACTCCTGAGTCCCTCCCGCCCACCTTTTTTTTTTTAAGTTTGAAATATAATTTCCTTCCCCCCCCCCACCCCCCAAATTAGGAAACTCTTTGAAAGCACTGTATTCGTTTGAACTCTGCCAGTCACGTGCCCGGTCACATGCTGCTGGGTTTCTGAAATAATCCGTTCCTTGTGCTTTGATGTTTACACTGGAAGCTTCTGGAGCTTTCTGAAACACCCCCCCCCCCCCCCCCCCGCCAGGATGGCTTTGAATCTGAACTAGGCAAGTCTTGGGAATTCAGACTTCCCAGGCAGAAGCGTGAAGAGGTGGCCAGGTTGACAGCTGCCGTGAGGCTCGGGGGAATTCCTTGTGTTGCCTTCCCTCACCGAGTGCCAAGAGGAGCAGAGGTGTTCATGGGACCGGGGAGTCTGCAAGGAAGGGAAGCCACACTTTGATGCTGCAGTGTTGCTGCTCGGTGGCAGCAGTCGCCCGGATGCACTAGGCTGGGGAGACAGACGTCATCCTGGAAGAGAAGACGGAGGGGAAGGGCATGCGGTCCCCTGGGAAGTAAATGGCCACCTCCACGGCCTCGGAGACCAAGGCAAGCTCCTGGTGAGTATGGCTCTGTTTATGTATTCGAATGGCAGAATGACACAGAGAGAGATTTTTTTTTTTTTCATCTGCTGGCTCACTCCCCAGATGCCCACGACAGACAGAAGCCAGGAGCCAGGCGCTCCCTCCAGGTGTTCCACATGGGTAGCACGAAGTCAAGTACTCGGTTCATCATCTGCCGCCTCCCCAGGCGGAGCAGCAGGAAGCTGGATCGAAAGTGGAGGCGGGACACCGTAACAAGCTGTGGCTTCACCCACCATGCCACGAAGCCTGCTCTAGCTTGATTTAAAGGGGGTGGGGGGAGACGCCATTTTCCCCAAGTGTGAGGGAGTACTTTTCTCGAAAGCGAGTATGCTTGCACTGTGTTAAAAGTCTTGCCGCATGGGATTCACATTGCTGGGAACTTACGGAGAAGCTGGCCACAGCCTCCCCACGCAGCCCACTCCCATGATCACGGGAGTGCTGGCAGACTTCGCTCTGGGCAATGGAGGGCTGGCCGCTGTAGGAACTGTAGGGTGTGGAGTGGTATGGCCCATCTGCTGTCTGCCTCGGGCTCCCCTCTCTCCTGTACCCCAAGTGAGTTCATCCGGTCTCATGCCTCAGTGCAGCGAGCAGCCAGAAGCAGGATGGGAGAGGTGGGATCCACCCGGAATCAGAGGGTTCACTGACAGTGTATGTGGAGTCACTTCAAAGGACATTCGGGAGCCAGGGGCACCTTCCCTCCAAGCGCGAGGAACATGGGACAAGAGGCACACAGTCCTAGTTGGCTTTGCCATGCTCTGGAGGATTTTTAAAAAATATTTATTTGTTTTTATTTGAAAGGCAAAGTTTACACAGAGAAGGAGAGACAGAGACCAAAACTCACGTGGGAGACCCAGATGATTCTCTGGCTTTAGCCTGGCCCAGCCTTAACTGTTGCGGGTATTTGGGGAGTGAACCAGCTGATACAAGATCTGTTTTTTAAAGATTTATTTATTTTTATTGGGAAGTCAGATTTACAGAGTGAAGGAGAGACAAAAAAGATCTTCCATTCACTGGTTCACTCCCCAAGTAGCCACAACGGCTGTAGCCAAGCCGATCTGAAACCAGGAGCTTCTTTCGGGTCTGTCCTGTGGATGCAGGGTCCCAAGGCTTTGGGCCATCCTTGATTGCTTTCCCAGGCTACAAGCAGGGAGCTGGATGGGAAGTGGAGCAGCCGGGATATGAACCAGCACCCATATGGGATCCTGGGCATGCAAGGCAAGGACTTTAGCCACTAGGCCACAGTGCCGGGCCCATCACTCAATTATTTTTTAAAAATCTGCTTTTCAGGAATGAAGCTGAATCCTAGTCTTTAGAGAATCTACTTTGTGAGCTTCAAGTAGTAAGTGGGTAAAAAATGTTGAACAATGACAGTGGATCTGCAGAACAGAACCAAGAGTTTTTAGGGGGGAACCAAGGACGATGAAAATTTAGAAGACAGAGCTTTCTGTGCTCTGTGTTCATGGGGTCTGGTCAGTCCCTAAGGGCCCAGGATGGTTTTACCCAGCCAGGAGCTGGCTGTTCCTCTGTAACTGGATGGCCTGTCGGGCTGGGTCCTCGCAGGCTTCCTGTCCAGCCTTGGAACTGCACGTTGGCCCCACACCCGCTGGGTGCGTGTGCAGTGGTGCGCCCTCCACAAGTGTGAGTCGCGTGGTGCACGGGCTGTTGGCAGAGGCTCGTGCCCTGAGCAGCTGTGAAGGGTGCGTCTGAGTTACACACCCCTGACTCAGCTTCCTTCTCAGGGGGCTCACAGCCAGTGTGGCTGTGTAGGTCAAGTGCGAGTTGTCGTGTGGGCACTTGGCTTTTCCTGTGACCACTCGTGTCTCTTCAGGCGGTTGGTCCTGCGACTGGAGAGAGAGAGCCCTATTTTTAGCTGGGTTCCCCCACACTTAGAGATGATAGTTTTATCTATTTGTCGCTTCTGGGTTCCCTTTCCCCTCTGGGGCCATCAGAAGGCTTTCAGACCCCGAGTGCTGAGGGAGCCCTCTTGGAGCCAAGCTCTAGGATGCGGCGTGTAAAATGCCGCAGTCACTGGCAGAAAGGCAATGTGGCCCCGTTCTCTTCTCTTGGCAGGTGGAATTACTTTTTCCTGTATGACGGCTCCAAGGTGAAGGAAGAAGGAGACCCAACGAGGGCAGGCATCTGTTACTTTTATCCCACTCAGGTAAGGAGGCGGCCTTTGATTGTGGGGTGAGCTCCCCAGGGCCTCCCGAGGGGTGAGTGCACGCGAGCGCAGCCTGGCTCAGGCAGGCAGCCGGCGTCTTTGCAGCTTGCTCGTGCGCTGGCAGATCTCATGCCCTGGATTTGGTTACTGACTTCCTTGTGGCTTGGCGCCTTGTGCTGTCTTCCATCCATCATCAGCTCTGGAGCCTTGAGTAGGCGCACACTGGGTTTCTCCAGTAAAGGATTCTGTACAGTGGCGCACAGGGTCTCCGTTGCAGCCTACAGCTAGACAAGGCAGAGCTTGGACAGGAGAGATTGCGATTCCATGTCCACACGGCAGGCAGCGGGGATCCAGCTTGGCTGCTTGCGCTGAGGATTTGAATGAGGACAAAAGCCCGAGCTTCTCCAGCTTGGTGGTCATCCCCTGTCTGCCGTGGGCGTTCCCATCAGCCCGGGCAGCATCGGCCGACTTCAGAAAAGCCTCGGT